CTATGAAATTATTGCAGTAGTATGGCGTTACTACAGTTAATTTTATGCAGTTATAATTCAATACTGCATTTTTACATTTGTTTATATATTTCTCTCAACTACAAATGGCATCATATACAGCCTATAAGTGTATGCACAAGTTTTGGTGAATTTTAACTTTTTATAATCAATTTCTGTATATTTTATGGTGGTAAATTATAAAACAGACTAGTATCTACATATATTTTCTGAATTCATGACATACCTTACAATTTCTTAATGTTTCCAATATTTCTAGGCTGTGTTCGTTGAGTTTTTTCAAAAGATTGCAAATCTCAAAAAACGTTTCCAATATATTTCCTGGAAAAAATCTGCAAATAAACGGATCCACAAAGTTCAAACACATGCTCAGGAGCACTGTACCTATTTTACATCCTGATCAGGATGCCTTATTTAAAACATACTTACTTTATGTTAAAACACACACTCTGAATGAAAAGACCACCCAAATAGGCTTTGTGTGAGCAACATGGCTGTTTATTCACCTGGGGGCGGGCAGGCTGAGTCAGTGGAGGGCAGTGGGATAGAAGCTAGTTTTATATGTTTGCAGTAGGCAGTGGAAAGTTACAGAAGTTAAAGTTTAGAGTGGTCTTTTGCAAGCTGGGAGGGGGTCGTAGGGTCTGGAGTCACAAAGTTGACCAAAGTTGGTTACAAAGTTGACCAAGATTGGTTACAAAGTCCAATGACCTTGTCAATTAAGGCCGGAATAAGAAACAATAGAAGAATGTCTCAGGTTAGTTAGGCACCAAAAGAGTTGATTGCCTTCCACTTTCCATGGTCTCCAAATTCCTTCACCTTTTCTAATTCCAGAAGGCCCTCCAGAGGTGTACGTGTGCACCATGGCTCCATCAGTCAGCCTAAAAGAACTTACACTTTATTTTTTAATTATGAAAAAAGTATTTGCCATAAGTTCATTTCATTTGTTCAGATAATAATGTGTTATAAAATTATTCTTGCCCCTAGAAAAAATTTAGGAGCCATCTCCTATCAATTACATAAAAACCCAGGAAAAGAACATGAGTAAATTCCCACACTGCTATTATTAACACCACTCATTGATCCACGAAGGATTATCTGCGGTAACCTGTCTCCCCCCTGCCTCAAGCTTCTGAGCTATATCCTGCCAGCAAGAGCACATGTCACCTTGAGAAATGCCAACAGATATAAACAGATTTACCAAGACCTAATTAAGAAGTTCACATGTATACTGACCAGTACTGTGCCTGATTTATGACCAGCCAATACCTGAGTGGTTATCATAAGGCAGAAACTGTTAAACCACCTAAAAGTACTTTAGACCTGATGCCCACACTTCCTATGAGATAGGTATCAACGTCCCCACTTTACAGAAAGTGAAGCAGACACACTAGAGATTAATTTGTCTAGAACTACAGAGCTAGTAGGTGGGATCTGAATCCCCTGGCAGTCTGTATCCTAAAAGAAAACTTTTACCACCATTATTCTGATAGAGGCAGAAAAGACCCAAATGCCTAGGCAAATAGGGAAGGGTCCATGGAGAACCTCCAACCTGCCCAAGTCATTGTGCACAGGGGATTTGCCTAAACATGCCCATGGTGAAAAATTCCGTCGCTTAACACATGCACAGTAAGGGAAATAAATCAATGTGGAGTGGCTCAGACTAAGGGCCCACATGCACACGGGAAGAATGGGGTGGAACCACCAGGAATTCATGCCTTATGCAGGGGAGGAGCCTGGCCTTTTCAACTTGTGTGTAGTGGCCGGATATTCAATTTGTGAGGTAGAAACCTGCATTCAGGATCCCTCTTTTTCTTGAGAGCTTTCCTTTCACTTAATAAATTCCCTACTCACCCTTCAATGTGTCCACATGCCTAATTTTTCCTGGTCATAAGACAAGAACCTAGAGATTTAGCTGAACTAAGGAGCAAGAAATCCTGCATCGATTTTAATAAATTGTGGCCGGGCACAGTGGCTCACGCCTGTAATCCCAGCACTTTGGGAGGCCGAGGCCGCTGGATCGCGAGGTCAAGAGATCGAGATCATCCTGGTCAACACGGTGAAACCCCGTCTCTACTAAAAATACAAACTATTAGCTTGGCATGGTGGCGCATGCCTGTAGTCCCAGCTACTCAGGAGGCTGAGGGAAGAGAATTGCCTGAACCCAGGAGGCGGAGGTTGCAGTGAGCCGAGATCGCGCCATTGCACTCCAGTCTGGGTAACAAGAGCGAAACTCCATCTCAAAAAATAGTAATAATAATAATAAATAAATAAACTGCATAACTGACAAAGACAGGAAGAGAGATTCACACTTAACCTGAAAAAAATCCCAGAAAGCTGAAATAAGCACCCTTTAGTCATGCTCAAATCAAAGTACTAAAAACTAGAACTGCTCACCAGTATCTAAAGATTTCAACATCAATTTGATTTAATTTAAACACCGAGCACCTACCAATATGTGAACTCTGAATTAGTCACAGGGGCTACAAAGGCTAATAACAACATGCTCCCTTCTTTGATAAAGTCACAAAGACAGTGGGTGCGTTTGTCTGGTAGGGGAAGGGGTTGGATCAAGAGAGAGATAAAAAGAACATGTGATAAGACAGGCATGTGATAAGAAAAAGACAATAGCGTTCTCTGAATTTCTCCTCTATTTTTCTTTCTTATTACTTAAAAGTGGCAAAACATTTTCTTCCCTTCCTCAAATAAGACACATTCAGAGTGTTTGTCTCCAGGCTGACAAACTTTGTTCTTTTCAGAACAGATTCAGAACTACAGGAAGCACCACCAGCCTGATACTAAGGAGCTGTCCTGACAAGCACCCCAGGAACCAATAACCCTGAGGCCACAGCGATCGCCTCGGTGCTCTTCTCCCTTGAAAATCAGAATTAAAGCATAATTTACCTCAAAGTCTAAACTTACAGAGGAAATTGTGCTTAAAAGCAACGTATTATCTTCTTCCTGTTTGGGAACATCCCCCTTTCTCAGTCCTTCAGAAGGGCCCAAAGAAGTAGTTTGGCTAAAGTTGTTCCCATAGAACCAGTTTCCAAAAACAGGAGAAATTACTGAAGAATATGGCTTAGGCAACCTACATGGAAATTTTCCAGTTGAACCTCCCGGTTTCCAGCAAGCAGAGGGAATGAGAAACCAGGAAATGGGGTTTTGTTTTCAACCACTTGAGCACAAGGTTTATGTTACCTTCTAGTGGGTCTTCATCTTGGTTTTCAGCTAGAGCTGTGGTTTCCTGCAACAAAAAAGGATCTCATGAGAAAATAATTTTACTTAAAGGTTAAATATCAATACATACTTTATTGGGAAAAACTCTAGCTTCTAAAATACTATCTAAAATAAAAATAATATTGAAAATTAATCCCTTAAAATCAGATTCTGAATTTGATGGAAAGAATCTTTAGGTGACATGGTACAATTATGAAAGAGGTAAACTGAGTCACAGAAGAATTGTTACAAAAGAGCAGCAAGCCTAACAGGGGCCTCTGGCCTTTGGATTTTTTGGGACCTAAGTAGCATCCTAGAGCCTGAGCTAGGAACCAGACACCAGGGTCCCTGGTATCAGCCTCCTTATTTCCTGTACTCATGCCTGACTCTACCTAGAGTTCTGCTCCTCCTTCCAGAATACAATCTATAAAGTCTCCATAAGCACGTTTTCCTCATGGCCCTCTAATCATATCCCCAAAACCCATGGCTCAGCTAAGAACCAGGATATGAGGTGCTCAAGAAAATGAGAGGCTACAGCAAAGCAAACCAATCATATTCTTACATAATGAGAAAAGTGAACTGCAGAGGCACTCGCAAAGTAAATCTTGGTTGGTTAACCCAGACTCTGTTGGATCTACTGGGGCAGCATACATTTTTACGATTCCGCTATAGACTTGCTGGGAACCTGTCTTTTTAAGTATGGCTAGCTATTCCAAGGAATCACTCTATCAAGGAAGGGCTGATCTAGCTCCTGGCACTTAATTAAGCTTCCCTTGCTAATAAGAATGAGAAGGTACTGACAGCCAAAGATCCACTATCTTTCCTTTTCGGTCTATCTGAAAGTATGTCTCCCCTTCACTCTGAAATATGTACAGGTTTGGAAAACAGGTTACCATAAATTTCAAAAGACAATATGTGTCATTTTTGTATTTAGATATGGCTAAGACACCAGCCATGGTGGCATGCAGTCCACAGTCTCAGCTACTTGGAAGGCTGGGGCAGGAGACCCAGGAGATAAGGCTGCAGTGAGTTATGATAGTACCACTGCATTCCAGCCTGGGCAAAAGAGCAAGACATCATCTCTAAAAACTAATTCTATATAAGGGAAAGAAATGGCTAAGACACCCAGAATCCATGCCTCCACAAGTCCTTTCCAATAATACAAGACTAAGTAACCTCACATTTTCCTCCTTTCAATATGCGTTCTGGCAAATGTGGATGCTAAATAACCAGGGTGAGGGAAGCAGCAACTATTTGGAGACAGATAGTCTCCAAATCTTTCTAGTCTGAGGGTCACTGGCACTGTGTATGCAGCTGACTGCCTTTAAAAAGAAGCATGTTTATAGGCTGGGTGAGGTGGCTCAAGCCTGTAATCCCAGCACTTTGGGAGGCCGAGGTGGGTGGATAACGAGGTCAAGAGATCGAGACCATCCTGGTCAACATGGTGAAACCCCATCTCTACTAAAAATATAAAAAATTAGCTGGGCACGGTGGTGCGTGCCTGTAATCCCAGCTACTCAGGAGGCTGAGGCAGAAGAATTGCCTGAACTCAGGACGCGGAGGTTGCAGTGAGCCGAGATCGCGCCATTACACTCCAGCCTAGGTAACAAGAGCGAAACTCCGTCTCAAGAAAAAAAAGAAGAAGAAGAAAAGCACGTTTATAAGTCTTTCCTCAGCTAGAGATATTCTGGGAAAGTGTGCTGATGGGCCACAAAGACCTGAGAATCATGTTGGAGACACCCACATCCACAATGCCAAAATGTAAAGAAGTGGGCTTCAGAGGGGTAACCCATTAACTTGGGGAGATAAAGGTTATGGACAGAGGCACAGCACATTGGGGGAAGCAGGGAATAAAGCTAGGACATCTCAGCAAGAACACACTTTATTAGAGAAGAACAAAATGGGGATGGGTGAGTGAAAGAGCGCTACCACAGAGCCTTCCCATCTTTAGTTTTGCTCAGCAGCTTCCCAACAGGGATCACCCAGCAGGATGGCAGGCAGAAGGCACAGTGGGGTCACCACAACCACAAAATATATTTATATAATTCTTGTACAAAAAAATGCATGTTACAGTAATAATTTGGCTGGAGGGTGAGATAAAAATCTCAGGATGTGCCCACAAAAATGGACAGAGGAATGGAGAGAAGGGGTAGCCAGGTGAGAAAAAAAGGATGTTCATTTCTCAATTTTCTCATGAGTGATGAAAAATCAACAAATACTTTCACTTCTGAAGTTGGTAATATACTCATTCTTATACTTCTCCATTTAAAGATAGAAGGGTAACCACCAAAAACAGAACATCTCCCAAAAAAGAACAAAAAGGGAAGAGGCGAAAGAAAAAAAAAAAGAGTGACAAAACCTCAGGCAATGTGGTCAAATATATTGTTTTAAGTGCTTCAATATCAAACATCTGTTAAAAGGGAAAAACCCGTATTGGGCCAAAAGGGGGATAAAAATGACAAGAAATCTAACATATTTTATACAAGAGGCACACCTAAAACAGACCTCAGAAAAATTGAAAATGAAAGTTTGGGCAGTAAAATATCATAATATAAAGCAAATGTAAGTTTTAAAAGTCAAGGGTCTAGATGTAAAATTCAAGTTTGGTTTTAAGGCAAAGATCATCACACAAACGGTGTCACTATGCATATTAGGAGAAAAGCTAGGGTGGGGGACGTTTGTAACATTTAGAGCAAAAATTGTTAATTTCTCTAACCTGTGAATATCTTATGCAGTCAAGCAAGAGGAACACAACTCAACAGAAAAACTAGAAAGATGGTATCAAAGTCACAGAACACAGATACCAATAAACACTTCAAGAGGCATTTGCCCTCGGTAATAGATAAATGCCTCCCTGGCCTATCAGATTGCCCGATCATATACAGAGAGAATGCAGAGTAGCAAGAACACCCACCACAATAATGAAAAGTACAAATTCTTGCAGACTTTAAGTAATTTGCTATTTAAACATTTTTATGTTACATCCTTTAATCCAGCCCTTCCACATCCAGAAATAAATTCTTGGGGAAAAAAATCAACACTCAGAAAAATGCTTGAAGATAAGTAAGTTTGTTAAAGTCTGGAAAATATTTAAAACGTCAGATAAGGGATGAGCTAAAAATCACAATGTATCTAAATGAGCTCACTCTGTTGCTCACGCTTGAGTACAACGGCACAATCATGGCTCACTGCAGCCTCAAACTCCCGGGCTCAAGTGATCATCCCACCTCAGTCTCCCAAGTAGCTGGGACTACACGTGTGAGCCATTTTGCGCAGACCATAAATGGGCAACTTTTAAAGAAAGGTCTCCTTATGCAGAAGCAAGCAAAGAGCAAAACAGTATGTACTACATAGTTCACTCTTGCCTAAATCATCCACTAACCACCAAAACAGAAAGACAAACCATGCTGTTTTAGCAAGAATACAGGGGAAAGATCTAGAAGACATCCACTCCAACAGTACTTTCTTCTAAGTGGAAAGGGAGTGGGGAAGGAGGAGGGGTGTGGGGGGAGCTTTTCCCTGACTTCAATACATCTTTGTGTGATTTGAGAAATATGTCACTTTAGTAATTCAAAGTATTACAACATCTTTTTAAAGTGTGTTTATATCTAATTGCTATAAAACAAACCCCAAAACTACTTTTTGTCCTATATTAAGTGTTAAAGAGTAAAATTTATCAAATTATGATCATCTAAAATTTAGTAGCAAGAATTTAGACAAAGACTTCATCAGCCTTTTGTTTCTGGAAGAGAATGAGAAATTATCTGCAAGTGAGAATTTACAGGTTATACATGTCCAAACTCAGCGAATCATAAAAATTAAACGTGTACAGGAGACTTTCTGGGTATCAAGTGTACACCGCAATAAAGCTGAACAAACGTTTGTCTGAGGCTATCATCAGCTTTACTCTCTAGTTTTAAAACAGGCAGCAAAAGCCGTGGCTGTGGGAATTTGGATGAGAGGATAATAATGTGTGAAGATAGGAAAGTGACGTTTACTATTATCGGGCCCATGAATGACACAAGATTCATTCCAGCAAGGCATACCTTAGACATAACCAAAGTTCCAGCTGTGTGTTGAGGGGTCTCATGTGCAGTAAAACAGTTCTGTCCATTTCCATCCACTGCACAGCTATAGCTGTAGCCAGAAAGAAGGTAAGAGCTGGGCTGCTGCACGTACCAGTTGCCACAGTGGTAACCCTGGATGGGCTGGAACTCCTGCTTCACTCTAATAGCAGAGGAAAGACCACAGCAATGACAACCGTCACCAACCAACACAGAATCATCCACAAACTCCCCCGACTTCTTTCCAGGAAGTTTGCAGTAAGTTGAACACCTATGTTCAAAGCCATTGTTTGTAAGTTACCAACAGTTATGTAGCAAATAGAAAAGTAACAGCTTTCTTTTTCCTTCAAAGGAGAAAACTGCTCACCTTTGCCAGTAGCTGGAATAGTTACTGTGTTGAGCTATGCCAAAACCTGCAAAACTCTCCTGTTCTGCCATTTATCCAGAAACCTTACAAAAAGAGAGCAGAATCCGGTTTTTATTCCTGCTTCAAAAATTCTGGCCTGTGGGCTAAAACCTCTCAACCCTGACAGCTAAGTCTCGCAACTACCTGAGATAATTACATTTAGTGGCAATTCCTGCTAGGCAATTAATTGCTTGACTTTCCTGACAACAGGGCAAAGGTGTGTCGGGGGGGGGTGCACTAAGGCACCTGGGAAAAAATCTGCCACCTGTTCCTCTGACTTCCACCTTCCGGCCCTCTCTCCTAACTGTCAGGCCTGGGGGAGCCAGCAGAACCCCAAGGAGGGACAGAAGGGGAAGATGTGTCCCTCGACAATGAAAGAGTCTCCACTGCATCCATTATCATAACGAGAGGAATCTTTAATAACAAAACCTTAAGACAAATACATTTCTCTCCTCAGTTATCATTCTGAGAATAACTATTGGAACTAGCTAGTGTTTTTTTATTTTTTTTAATCCCATGCAGGTATTAAAAGCATAATTATTGAAAGCATAATCCAAACTAGCTGCAAAATTAAGAGGCAGCGAAGAAAGCCTTCCTTTGCTCCCTTCCCTCCTGTGTCTCTTCCTTTTCTCTCTTACACCCTACATTAATGAGAGTACAGGATACAATTTTAAAGAAATATTTCTCTTGTTCAGTATTTTTCAAAAACGCATGATAAAGCTTCCCAAAATTTAACGTGCATACAAATGACCTAGACTTGTTTAAAATGTAGGTTCTTTAGGCTGGCACAGTGGCTCACATCAGTAATCCCAACGCTTTAGGAAGCTGAGGCGGACAGATCATGAAGTGAGATCGAGACTATCCTGGCTAACATGGTGAAACCCCATCTCCACTAAAAAATAAAATAAAATAAAATAAAAAAATTAGCCAGGCGTGGTGGCCCACACTTGTAGTCTCAACTACTCAGGAGGCCGAGGCAGGAGAACAGCTTGAAACCAAGACGCGGAGGTTGCAGTGAGCTGAGATCACGGCACTGCACTCCAGCCTGGCAACAAGGTGAGACTCCATATTAAAAAAAAAAATAGATTCTTTAACTTGACAGATCTGGAGTGGAGCCTCAAATTCTGCCTTTATAGCTGGCTCCTGCCACTTTAAGCAGCAAGGATACACAGTGTCAAAATTCAAGATAACTTTTGAGTCCATACGGGGTGCTTAGGGTGTGGCCATTTCCCTGCTGCTGGCTAATAACTAAGTGCTAATGTATTTTCTATTTACCTGTCATGTGAAAAATAGCAGACTTGATGAATTCAAAACATTCTGATCATTCAATCATTCACCAGTTATTTATTGAGCCATTACTACAGTCATCCCTTAGTATCCATGGGAGATTGTTTACAGGGTCCCCCTCAGATACCAAAATCCTTCGATGCCCAAGTATAAAATGGTGTAGTATTTGCAAAGAACCTACACACATCCTCCCAGAAACCTTAAATTCTGTCTAGATTACTTACAATACTTAATACAATGGCTACACATTACTTCATGTATAGTCTTGCTCCGTCGCCCACGCTGCAGTGCCACAGTTTGATCTCGGCTCACTGCAACCTCACCCTCCCGGGTTCAAGTGATTCGCCTGCCTCAGCCTCCCGAGGAGCTGGGATTTCAGGCGCCTGCCACCACGCCCTGCTAATTTTTCTATTTGTAGTAGAGGTTGGGCTTCACCACGTTGCCCAGGCTGGTCTCGAATCCCTGACCTCAAGTGATCCGCCCGCTTCGGCCTCCAAAAGTGCTGGGATTACAGGCGTGAGCAGCCGCACCTGACCAAGAATTATTTTAAAAAATGACTGAATACAAGGATTTCCACTAGACTGAAGACTAGTTTGTCAACAGCATTTCAGTGTCTGTAAAGTTCTTACATTTGGAGTTGACAAAGCTGGCAGATGACAAGGCCTTTCTCCTGCGCTACAATGACAACTGAAGCATCCAAAGTGAAATCATCTCCGCAAGACCCAAACCGGCCTTTATTAATTAACACGTACTGACAATCCAGAACACCAGAGAAGAAAAGTTCTTGGAAACAGAAGGGTCTAAGCGCTGAAGCACTGTATGGCACTTGAAATGGAGGCTGAAGTTTTGACCATGATGGACTATGCATTTTGTTTATCAACTGAGCTACTACGGTGTTTATGAGAACTATATAAACCAAGATTTACTCTATTGGGAGTTTGTGGGAAAGCTGTAATGTCCAACGCATAACTCAATCTCTAAACCTGATTAAACTTTTTTCTTTGAAACGGTGTCTGGCTCGTCACCCAGGCTGGAGTGCAATGGAGCTATCTCGGCTCACTGGCAGCCTCGACTTCTTGGGCTCAAGCGATCCTCCCACCACAGTCTTCAGAGTAGCTGGGGCCACAGGCGCGCGCCGCGCTGTGCCAGGTCCGGCTACTTTCTAAATATTTTTGTAAAGACGGACTCCAGCTATGTTTCCCAGGCTCACTTCTCCCTCCCCAAGAGGTGCCGCAACCTTGGCCAATATGACCCTAAGTCCCACCCCTCCTTGCCCTGTTACGAAAGGCTCTTCCTCTGCTTCCCGAACAAAAAGGAACCCTTACTTCTACCCTAGTAGTACACAGCCCACACCAAACAGCACGCCAAGAGCCCCACCCCACTGCAAGGAACCACAGCTACAGCCACAGCCCCGCCCCACCGGGCCGGAAGTTGACTCCGCCTCCTCCTAGACATGACGGAAACGCGGGTCTTTGCAGAGGATGTCCCGCCCGCACCCCTCAGACGGACCTGGCTCTCACCTTCCTAAGATATGCCTGCTTGCCCCCAATTTTTTTCTTCTTGCAGTGAGAACGTCCTCATGTTGCATCCTTATTCTCCTCTTGGCAAATCCATGTGATCTTCCAGCGCTGAAAGTGTTTGCACGTTTACAGGCGACTTAAAGGCAGCCCTGAGCCCATGACGTATAATTCGGGTGCCGATGAAGAAAAGACTCAGGCCTTTTTTTTTTTTTTTTTTTTAACATTCGGTTCTGTCACCTTCAGGTTGAGTCGGGCTGGCGGAAGAGGCACGTGCTTTGCTGAATGGAGCTGGTCGCGGGTTGCTACGAGCAGGTCCTCTTTGGTTTCATTGTACACCCGAAGCCCGAGGCGTGCGGCGACCGCGAGGTGAGATACCTCATACCGGGAGACAGCCGGAGGCGGGGCCGGGAAGGTGGGTTTGGTTCCTACACAGCAGAGGTAAACATTTGAGCGCCTGCTGTTCACTGTCGGATCTTTGGATGAATTGATGAATCAAACCTAAGAGACATAAGGGAAAAGCTAACCTTTTAAAACACAGAATGGCTATTTTATCAAAATTAGACAATATCTGCCTGTTACAGTAGACAAAAGGGCCACGAGACACAGAGGAAACGGCATTTCTGCATACGAACAAATGAGTCGTAGATGATGGATTTAAGGGTAGATAGATCCCATAAGTTGACAGTATTCAAAATTTAATGACAAAAGATCTCGCTTTTTCTTTGAATTTCTGTCCTAGAATTTTACAAATTATTAGAGCTAGATTAGGAGAAATCACTTATAGATAAAGCGATACTAGTTCGTTATTGGTTGGGAACTTATTTGCGAGCTGGGCAGTGGAGTTGCAAAGGTGCTGGAGGTATGGATCTTGCCTTAGAGACATTCCCTCCATAAGGGTTGGAGGACTGAGGAGATACATAGATGGAGAGAAATTACAGCAGAATGAACAGAAAGCTTTAGTAAATTGCCAGTAGTCAAATAGGTAGGTAGGACTGTACTCACGGCTAGAAATCCTACTTTCTAACATCTAGCTCAGTTTTATTCTTGAAGCAATTCTCAGTATTTTCCAGAAACCTGTTTTATTGAGTCCAGTACTTTATGAAGTCAACGCGTCAATCTTGAGTTACCTAGATAATTTGGGAGTATGTCACTCGACCTGTTGCTTTTGTTTATTTTGTTTTCTACTCCAGTTATTTGCTTTTGGTCTTTGGCTGAAAAGTGATGTGTTTTGAATAGTCAAAGATGGATACTATTGAGTGTTTTCTTTGTAGTGAAATTACTTAACTATGTTTCAGACACACAATAGGCCTACAGCAATCCTGAGGCAGATACAGTTTTTCTCATTTTTGCAGATGAGGAACCAAAATGTTCCTCCTAAATAGGTTAAGCGACTGCTGAAGGCCATACAGCTAATAATTGGCAGAGCTGACCCAAAATGTCAGGAGCCCTCCAAGGGTCTCTGATATTTGAGGCTCTTAACATTCCCCTATACTGCTACTAAATCTAAGTGATAGCCTAGATAAACCCACATTGTGTGAATTTGAAAAGGTTATTATTTGATGTAAGCCCATAGCAGCCCCTCAAGAATGCTTGATTCAAAGGAGACCCCTTGGTCTTAATTGATGGAAGGAGTATCTGTTGCTATAATTATGCAGGTCCTGATTTGCAGTAACACGTGTTCAAAGAAGTTTGATGGGTGTTTTCTGTTTGTTTCCCAAATACTTTTTGATGCAGTTCCTTCAGTTTAAGGAGTGTGGGTGTGTGTATTTTGCTGTCATATTTCACATTCATCCAGACTTCCTAATCCTGTTGTCACATGGCAATAAGCGTACAGGTGCTGAGATTTCATTATTGGTGATTCTCTGGGACTTATGTTGGTGCTCATGAAAGCATACCTTTACTTTGTTGGTTTTTCTTTGTAAGACTTGTTGTTGGGCGTGGTGGCTCATGCCTGTAATCCCAGCACTTTGGGAGGCTGAGGCAGGTGGATCACTTGAGGGCCAGGAGTTTGAAACCAGCCTGGCCAACATGGCAAAACCCCGTGTGTACTAAAAATACAAAAATTAGCTGGGTGTGGTGACAGGCACCTGTAATCCCAGCTACTAGAGAATCTGAGACATGAGAATTGCTTGAACCTGGGAGGCAGATGTTGCGGTGAGCTGAGATCATGCCGCTGCACTCCAGCCTGGGTGACAGAGCAAGACTCCATCTCAAAAAAAAAATTGTGTAGAGTCTAAAAGTCTTCTCTCGTCCAGTCTCCATTACTGCGTTCTAGAGTGGTGATACCCAGTGTTGCCTTCCCATCCCCTTGCTTTACCTTCCTGATGAAGTCTCAAGTCCTTTGTGTTAAACTACATGTCATTTTTTAGTTTTACATGTCATTCTTCCATGTGTAGGATCCATTGATAATTTTCATGAATTGCAGAACGATTTATCTTTTCAGTAACCGATAAATGGTTCCATGGTTCATAAAAACTACCAGTGGATAGTTGGTAAAACTGCGGGGTGACTGTGGCATTAATTGTGTGTTTTCATCTTCAGCAGCAATGGACTCCTGTGGCCGACTTCACTCACCATGCTCACACTGCCTCCTTGTCAGCAGTAGCTGTCAATAGTCGTTTTGTGGTCACTGGGAGCAAAGATGAGACAATTCACATTTATGACATGAAAAAGAAGATAGAGCATGGGGCTCTAGTGCATCACAGTGGTAAGAAAATTGTATCTTAAGTTGAGCAATTTGTTGTATCTATTTTATAGTAGATTCTGAGGTAGAAGTTAGAGGAATTTTTAAAAAATGGTTTCTTAGCTTGGCGCAGTGGCTCACGCCTGTAATCCCAGCACTTTGGGAAGCTGAGGCAGGTGGATCACCTGAGGTCAGGAGCTTAAGAACAGACCCATCTCCACTAAAATACAAAAAAATTAGGCAGATGTGGTGGCACCTCCCTGTGGTCCCAGCTACTTGGGAGGCTGAGGCAGGGGAATCATTTGAACCCGGGAGGCAGAGGTTGCAGTAAGCTGAAATTGCGCCACTGCACTCCAACCTGGGCAACAGAGTGAGACTCCATCTCGGGGGGAAGAAAATGGTTTCTTGCTCTGAGTTATCTCACAGTTTGTATTGGAAAGGAGGAACTTAACTCAGGGAGTAAGGGAGTCAGAGTGAGGTTTCACTGAAACCTTCCTTAAAATGAATCTGAACTATCATATTTTTTTCTCTTCTCATCTGTATTATTTTAAAAGAGAAATGTCAGTTGTTAGGCAGATAAAGTTTGCAAGGAGGGCGAAAGGACATTGCAGGCAGAGCCGGCAGTGTGAGGAGCACAAGTAGTAGGATCACAGCAATATCTCACTTTATTGAGGGCATGTTGTGTACCCCTCAGTGTGCCAAGAAAGTAGTTTTATCTTTAGTTCTTGGAAGAGAACACCTAGTTTCAAAGATGTTACTTGACTTGCCCAAGGTCTCAAAACAGTGGAACTAGAACTTGAACCTAGGTCTAAAGCCCATGCTTTTGACCGCTGGTGTGCATGAGGAGCTGAAGCTGTTCTGGATTGTGAGAAGGTTAAATTGGAGTATGAGGGGCTACAGAAGTAGATCCCAGAGACCTTGAGAGATGGCAGGTAGAGGCTGAATGGGAGAGAGGAAGCAAGCAAGCTAATGAGTGATGTGGGCTTGAGGAAAGTACTGCCAGTCTGCTATGGGAGGGCTGCTAACTGAGAACCCAAACAGAAGGAATGTTGAGGGCCTGCCCCATTGGAATTGGCAGCTATGGATCGAGCAACATCAGTTTGCAGGGTTTTCTGAGTTTCTTCAGTAGTAAGCCCCAGACATTTCCCTAGAGAGAGGAAGGTTACTTGGTGTGTGCAGTAGGAGGATTAAGTTACAAGGAAATTAAGAATTTTGGTGAAGGAGTAGATTAGGTTGTCAGCTTAGAGAAAATGTGTTGTCATGGGCCTGGAGATCTCTGAAGTACAAAAGCAGATGGAGTGTGAGTGCAGTAAGGCGTGAAAAAGATGGGAAGATGTGAGCTTGTGGTCAGCAAATAGGTTCCCAGAGATCAAGATTTTCTAACTCGGAACAGCCTGAAAGGGATGGGAAGATGTGAGCTTGTGGTCAGCAAATAGATTAACCTATTCTTTTTTGAGAGGGAGTTTTGCTCTGTCACCCTGGCTGGAGTGCAGTGGCAGGATCTCAGCTCACTGCAACCTCCACTTCCCAAGTTCAAGCGATTTTTGTGCCTCAGCCTCCTAAGTAGCTGAGACTATAAGCACACACCACCATGTCCAGCTAATCTTTGTATTTTCAGTAGAGACCGGGTTTCGCCATGTTGGCCAGGCTGACCTTGAACCCCTGACCTCAGGTGATCTGCCCGCATTGGCCTCCCAAAGTGCTGGGATTACAGGCATGAGCCACCACACCCGGCCAGTGTTTGGTTTTCTCTTCCTGCATTAGTTTGCTGAGGATAATGGCTTCAAACTTCATCCACATCCCTGCAGAGCACATGGTCACATTCCTTTTTATGGCTGCATAAATCCTATTTTTCTCAGAGTTGGTAATAGATAAACTTTTTTCTAGGTTAGCAGCTGTATGTGGTAATGATGCCCAGGCTGTGGTGGGGGAGGAGGGGGCAGCGACTGAAATACAGAGGAGGCAAAGAAATACACTGGAGTTGAAGTCAAGGAGTAGTAATTCCCACCTTGTTGGGTTTTCCACACTGGTGGTCAAGGTACCCGGGATAGTGGCAGAATCAAGGGAGAGAAAGACTGAACAGGTAAGTTTTTTTCTTCAGTACCAAATATTTTACGCTGTTTTTATTGCATTTTCCTAGGGGTAGAGAATGAGGAGTAACTTAGCTAAGAAAGTTGGTTTTCTGCAAAGGCAGATAAAATAGGTGCCTTTTTTCCTATCCAGTCTTTCTTGTATTTCAGAGGATCCACAGCAGGCACGGGTTTCCAGCAGTAAATATGCAGCCATAAACGGCTTCCTTCTATGACATGTTCTCTTAGTTTATTCAGACTGCTATAACAAAATACCTTAGACTGAATCATTTCTGTATAATGGAGATATATTTCTCATAGTGCTAGAGGCCGGGAAGTCTAAGATTAAAGTACCAGCAGATTTTCATGTCTGCTAAGGACTGGCTGGCTGTTGCTGTGTCTTCTTATGGTAGAAGGGCAGCAGCTCCCTATACAATTCTGTAAGGTCCCGCTTGAGAGTTGGAGCCAGTTTAAAAAAAGCAAACAAACAAAAAAAGTTTTTTTTTTTTTTTTTTTTAAATTAGGGGTCTTGCTGTGTTGCCCAGGCTGAAATGCAGTAGAGTGATTTCAGCTCACTGCAACTTCCACCTCCTGGGTTTAAGTGATTCTCCTGCCTCAGCCTCCCTAGTAGCTTGGATTACAGGCGCCCACCACCATGCCCCAGCTAATTTTTGTATTTTTAGTAGAGACGGGGTTTTACCATATTGGCCAGGCTGGTCTTGAACTCCTGATCTCAAGTTATCTGCCCACCTCGGCCTCCCAAAGGGCTGAGATTACAGGTGTGAGCCACCTCGCCTGGCCAAAAAAAAAAAACTTTTATAAGGTCAATAATCTTGCTCATGAGTCATCCTCACCTAAAGGTGTCACCTCTTAAACTATCGCGCTGGCAACTAAGTTTCAGCCAATGATTTTGGGGGACATGTTCACACCATGGCAGACTGTCCATAATGCTTTAAGAGCTGTCTCACCCTTCATCAGCTGTGCTTTGAGTGTTTTACGTATACATTCTTTTATTTTCTCTTTCCCATACCCACTTCATACAACGAAGCCTTCTCTCTCAGGTTTGGAAGAAATAAGTTAAATTCGACCTGCCCATACCCATTAGTACAAGAGTTCAACAATAAGAAAAGGAATGACACAGAAGGAGTTTAGACTTTGCGGGGGGGTGAATGAAATAGGGTTCTTGGTTTCTTGGTTTCTTCCATTCCTTGTATAAATTTTTTTTTTTCTTCTCTTTTAAAAGATTCTTTTCTTTTTTTTTTTCCTTCAACCCTTATTTTAAGTTCAGGGGTACACATGCAGGATGTGCAGGTTTATTACATAAGTAAACGTGCCTTAGTGGTTTGCGGCACAGATCCCATCCCCTAGGCATTAAGCCAGGCATCCTTTAGCTGTTCTAATGCTCTCTCTCCCCCCACCCTTCCCGTCCCACAGGTCCCAGTGTGTGTTGTTCTCCCTATGTGTCCATGTGTTCTCATGATTCAGCTCCCACTTATAAGTGAGAACATGTGGTATTTGGTCTTTCTTTTTCTTTTCTCTTTGTTTTCTTTTTTTTCTTTCTTTTTTGAGAGGGTGTTTTGCTCTGTCACCCTGGCTGGAGTGCAGTGGCAGGATCTCAGCTCACTGCAACCTCCACTTCCCAAGTTCAAGTGATTTTTGTGCCTCAACCTCCTAAGTAGCTGAGACTATAAGCACACACCATCATGTCTAGCTAATCTTTGTATTTTCAGTAGAGATGGGGTTTTGCCATGTTGGCCAGGCTGATCTTGAACCCCTGACCTCAGGTGATCTGCCCGCATTGGCCTCCCAAAGTGCTGGGATTACAGGCATGAGCCACCACACCCGGCCAGTGTTTGGTTTTCTCTTCCTGCATTAGTTTGCTGAGGATAATGGCTTCAAACTTCATCCACATCCTTGCAGAGCACATGGTCACATTCCTTTTTATGGCTGCATAAATCCTATTTTTCTCAGAGTTGGTAATAGATAAACTTTTTTCTAGGTTAGCAGATATAGGAAAGTAAACTTTCCAAAGTGAGAAATAGGATAATAGGGAGAGGAAAATATGGGCAAATGAATGAAAAGTGTTTAGAAATGGATCAAAACAGGTCAGAGTGATGACTTGATCGTGGCTGATTGGGTGGCTAGTTCAGGCTTTAGAAAGTGGAAGTCATGTGGCAGTACTCCTGGTTTGTTCCCCGGATTAGCTTGTTAGCCAGTTAGTTTTGTTTACTTCTGCTTAAATTATCCTAGCCAGCCATTTCCTAAATTTGTAATTTGAAGAGGTAAAGCAAGGATGTGAACTGATTCGTTCAAAAATGTATCTAAACTGCAGGTACTCTGCTGAAAATATTTGCATAGATTTTAGCAGTTGTACATATACGAAAAAATTTAAGGTGTATTTTAGTAATATTAAGACATCGAGGCCAGGCACGGTGGCTCACGCCTGTAATTCCAGCACTTTGGGAGGCTGAGGTGGGCAGGTCACTTGGGTCCAGGAGTTCAAGAGCAGCCTGGACAACATGGTGAAACTCTGTACCTACAAAAAATACAAAAGTTAGCTAGGTGTATTGGTGTGTACCTGTAGTCCCAGCTACTTAGAAGGCTGAGGTGGGAAGATCACTTGAACCTAGGAAGCAGAGGCTGCAGTGGGCTAAGATTGTGCCATAGCACTCCAGCTTGGGTAACAGAGTAAAACCCTGCCTCCAGAGAAAACAAAAAAGGCATTGAGTGTTTTAGTTAGCATAGCATAGCCTTCAAACCAGAAATGGAGTTTGCATTTAAAATGAATATTATTTTTGCCGGTTTTGGTTTTTCCACAGGCACAATAACTTGCCTGAAATTCTATGGCAACAGGCATTTAATCAGTGGAGCAGAAGACGGACTTATTTGTATCTGGGATGCCAAGAAATGGGAATGCCTGAAGTCAATTAAAGCTCACAAGTGAGTTGGGCTCTTCCCTTTGGCATTCTCCATGTGCCAGTCAAGTTGGGGACTAACTGTTAGTTTCATTTTAGAGGACATGTGACCTTCCTTTCTATTCACCCATCTGGCAAGTTGGCCCTGTCGGTTGGTACAGATAAGACATTAAGGTAAGTCATTAATGCTCGAGAGCATTTTTCTAAGGTGTATCTTTTACTACAGCTCTCCACCATTTAAAAACACTGTGAAACAGGCAGGGCATTTCACAGTATATTTCAATGGTGGAGAGCTGTAGGAAAACATGGTGGCTCATGTCTATAATCTCAGTGCTTAGGGAGGCTGAGGGGAGTGGATCACGATGTCAGGAGTTCAAGACCAGCCTGGCCAGTATGGTAAAATCCCGTCTCTACTAAAAAAGAAATTAGCCAGGCATGGTAGCAGCGCCTGTAATCCCAGCTACTCGGGAGGCTGAGGCAGAGAATTGCTTGAACCCAGGAGGCAGAGGTGGAGGTTGCAGTGAGCCGAGCGCACCACTGCATTCCAGCCTGCTCAACACAGCGAGACTCCATCTCAAAAAAAAAAGATACTGTGAAACAAGGGAAAGGTCAAAAGCTAGTGAACATTTTCATAATGGTAGGATAAAGATCATAAGCTCTGTATTTAAGCATGTAATTTTGCTCCAGTCATCATAGCTGTAAAGTGAAGATTTTTAGGAAGGGAAGCCTTTGGAAAATACAGTGGTTACGATGTGTTAAAGGGATATGGGAATGGAGCAAGCCTTAATCCTTTCTGATAATATTTCAGGATGTTGCTGTAAGGAAGATAGCAGGTCCTTTAAATAGCCAATATTTAGTAAAATTGTCAGTTGAGTAAGTTGTCATTATGCTTGTTCTTTTATGCTTAGTAAAGTTAGTTGGTGATCACACCATAAGTGAGCTTCCTGTTTTGCAGAACGTGGAATCTTGTAGAAGGAAGATCAGCATTCATAAAAAATATAAAACAAAGTGAGTATTTTTGTTTGAAATACAGGTTGAGCATTCCTAATCTGGAAATCTGAAATGCTTCAAAATCTGAAACTTTTTGAACACTGGTGTGATGCCTCAAGTAGAAAATTCAACATGCAGGCGGGCGCGGTGGCTCATGCCTATAATCGCAGCACTTCAGGAGGCTGTGGCAGGTGAATCACCTGAGGTCAGGAGTTCAAGACCAGTCTGGCCAACATGATAAAACCCCATCTCTACTAAAAATACAAAAATTAGCCGGGTCGGGTGGCAGACACCTGTAATCCCAGCTACGTGGGAGGCTGAGGCAGGAGAATCACTCGAACCTGGGAGGCAGAGGTTACAGTGAGCCGAGATTGGCCATTGCACTCCAGCCTGGGTGACAAGAGCAAAATGCCATCTCAAAAAAAGAAAAAGAAAATTCAACACCTAACTTCATGATGGATCACAGTCAAAACTTTGTTTCATGCCCAAAATTATTTAAAATATTGTGTAAAATTACCTTCAGGCTAGGTGTATATAAAACATAGATGACTTTCATTTTTAGACTTGAAACATGAGTTTCACGGCTTGTATCCTTGAGATATTTTGCTGTTTAAATGCAGATATTCCAAAATCCAAAATAGTTCTGGTCTCAAGCATTTTGGATAAGGGATACTCAACCAGTATATTTTACAGTGACTTAATAGACTCTGATTATAGATAGATACACATTCTTACATGTGTGCATGTTACACATTTATTTCCCTGAATGGTGGTGGTTACCTATGAGCAAATGCTTTGGGTTACTTTATTTTCCCATTTTAGATCTAGATTCTTGTGGCTTTGCCACCTGCCTTTGATTTTTATTTTATTTTATTTTATTTTTGAGATAGAATCTTGCTCTGTCACCCAGGCTGAAGTGCAGTGGCACAATCTCAGCTCACTCCAACCTCTGCCTCCTGGGTTCAAGTGATTCTCCTGCCCCAGCCTCCCAAGTAGCTGGGATTACAGGTGCATGCCACCATGCTTGGCTAATTTTTTGTAGTTTTTGTAGAGATGAGGTTTCACCATGTTGGCCAGGCTGGTCTCAAACTCCTGGCCTTAAGTGATCCACCCACCTTGGCCTCCCAAAATGCTGGGATTACAGTTGTGAGCCACTGCACCTGGCCCACCCTTGACTTTTTGAACCTAGATTATTTTCTAAAAAATTGAACTTGTAAAATGTGTTATGAAGAGCAAATGGCATCATGGATTTGAAAATGCATATTATAAATATTTGCTATTTTTATTACTATGATCATTTTATGTTTTATTTATAAAATAAATAGGTCGGGCATGGTGGCTCATGCCTATAATCCTAGCACTTTGGGAGGCTGAGGTGGGTAGATTACAAGGTCAGGAGATCTAGACCATCTTGGCTGACATGGTGAAACCCCATCTCTACTAAAAAAAAAAATTAAAAATTAAAAAATTTAAATAAAAAATAATAAATAAACTTTATTTTTTTCACTTATAGATGCTAACCTAGTGGAATGGTCCCCAAGAGGAGAGCAATATGTAGTTATCATACAGAATAAAATAGACATCTATCAGCTTGACACTGCATCCATTAGTGGCACCATCACAAATGAAAAGAGAATTTCTGCTGTTAAATTTCTTTCAGTAAGTAATCAGAAATCAGTGACCGAAGTTTGTGGTGATGTTTGGAACTGTTGATGACATTCTGCCTGTTATTATTTTTCATCTCTCCTAGGAGTCTGTCCTTGCAGTGGCTGGAGATGAAGAAGTTATAAGGTTTTTTGACTGTGATTCGCTAGTGTGCCTCTGTGAATTTAAAGCTCATGAAAACAGGTAATTTTACCAATCTCAGGTGTATATGTTGAGTCTTAATAAATGATATATATGCAGCAGTTTCTTAAACCAGGGTATATGTTTTTATTAACTGCAGAAATAATCAGACATACCTATGTGGACAGTATATGGTGTCTGGAGTCTAATAAAATAATGGAAAATGTTATCTTCATGGCCTTTAATAATGCAAAAGTGGGCTGGGCATGGTGACTCACATCTGTAATCCCAGCACTTTGGGAGGCCAAGGTGGGTGGATCACGAAGTTAAGGGATCGAGACCATCCTGGCCAACATGGTGAAACCCCATCTACTAAAAATACAAAAATTAGCTGGGCATGATTGTGTGCGCCTGTAGTCCCAGCTACTTGGGAAAGCTGAGGCAGGAGAATCTCTTGAACCCAGGAGGCAAAGGTTGCAGCGAGCCAAGATCGCACCACTCCATCCAGCCTGGCTACAGTGCAAGACTCCCTCTCAAAAAAAAAAAAAAAAAAAAAAAAAAAAAAGCAAGATCGGTGAAATTGTTTTTTGGGACTAGTCATTTGCACAAGATAGTTTTTTAAATGTCTGTTAGATGTGGAGCCTGAAATCAAGCATATTTGAATCAACGAAAGACTAAACAATCTTGAGCTTTGTTTCTAACTACTTTTGTTGTCCTTTTATGTAATTCCCCTTGCCTACTTCTTCCCCCTTTACGAGTGATTTTTTTTCCCCCTGCAGGAGAAGTGAACTGTTATTGAGTTCCAGTTTTGTGCCAGTCTTTATTACCTTTTAATGCTTACTCTATTTCTAGGGGGTAGATAATCTCAAAGTAAGCAGTTAAGTGGCTTGGCTAAGATTACCCCACTCTTAGGTAATGGAGCTGAGAGGTGAACCCAGTTTTATATCCCTGCTATATTCTTAGATCCCTGCTCTTTCCAGGAATTTTGAAAAACGTGATTTAATGTACAGGGTTATATTTTGATGGGTTGCATTTGCATGTTCTATGTCTCAAATGAGTCGTCTTATTTATTAACAGTGGTTAAGTTTTAAGAAATCCGTACTTGGAGTACTGCAGTTACTAAAATAAAGGCCTTACTCTTTCCCTATATTGGGGAGTAAACATTCTTCAAGGTCGCCCATTCCAGGTGTACTAGTAACACTTAAGATATTTGGCCATTCATTCAGTCAACAAGTGTTTATTGATCATCATTATGAAATACTACACGAGGTATTTAATAATGAACGGAAAAGACAAGAGCTTGTGCTCTCATGGCTCTTCTATTGTAGCGAGGCAATAGATTATAAAGTAAGCAGATCATTATGACAGAATGGAAATAGAAAAGTAGAGTGATTAAGGAATAAGCGTAATTGGTTTAGATAGGATGATGAGGCAAGGAGATGTGAGACTTTAAGAATGAGAAAGGAGCTAGTTTTAAAAATAAGAGAGAGTAGGGCCGGGCACCGTGGCTCACGCCTTTAATCCTAGCACTTTGGGAGGCCGAGGCAGATGGATAACCTGAGGTTGGGAGTTCAAGACCAGCCTGACCAACATGGAGAAAACCCCATTTCTACTAGAAATACAAAATTAGCTGGGCGTGGTGGCACATGCCTGTAATCTTAGCTACTTGGGAGGCTGAGGCAGGAGAATCGCTTGAACCTGGGAGGCGGAGGTTGCAGTGAGCTGAGATCACACCACTGCACTACAGCCTGGGCAACAGAACGAGACTCCATCTCAAAAAAAAAAAAAAAAAAAAAGGAAGAGAGAGCCACAGGTGCCACGACCCTGAGGGAAAACAGAGCTTGGTGTATTTTAGGAGCAGATAGAAGACCTTTGTGACTAGGTGAGAGTGAGCAAGGAAAGGGTGATGGAAGCCAAATTGTGCCTATAATTCTATTTTTTCTTACTATGGAAAAATTTAAAAGCATTTAGACTGGTTTATGATACTAACTTTTTTTTTTATGGTACTAACTTTTAAAATTAATTAATTTATTTTAATAGAGATGGGGTGTCACCATGTTAGCCAGGCTGGTTTTGAACTCCTGACCTCAGGTGATCCACCCATCTTGGTCTCCCAGAGTGCTGGGATTACAGGTGTGAGCCACCGTGCCCGGCCTTATGGTACTAACATTTTAAGACTTGCCACCATCTTTAGCAACTGTCACTGTGTGACCAGTCTTGCTTCATCTATATGCCCAGCCACTTCCTCTCCCATGTTATTTTAAAGTAGACCCCAGTTTTGTAGAGGTTTTGGAAGTTACATGATTTGATTTACATTTTTAAAAATTGTTAAGGGGCAAAATAGAAGCAGAAAGGCCAATGAGGCTATGTCTGTGATCCAGAAGAAAAGTGATGGCAGCTTAGACTATCAATGGTGGCACTGGAGTGGAGAGAAATGGGTGTGTGGGAGAGGCCTTGATTCATCGTTTCTGTTGTCTTTTCTCTTCTTCCTGAACTTGGAATTTCTTGAGATGAAGGGCTTTGTTTTACTCATCTTTAGTTTCTTTGTAATAACCTGATTATTTATAGTTATCTATTGTCTTTTCAACTTTTCCTTCAGATATGGTGGGCAGTTGATTTTATCTTGTATTTTTGGCCTGAGTATGATTCACTAATGGAATGTAAAGCTTAGTTATATATATATATTTTTTTGAGACGAAGTTTCACTCTTGTTACCCAGGCTGGAGTGCAATGGCGCAATCTTGGCTCACCACAACCTCCGCCTCCTGGGTTCAAGCAGTTCTCCTGCCTCAGCCTCCCAAGTAGCTGGGACTACAGGCATGCACCACCATGCCCAGCTAATTTTTTTGTATTTTTAGTAGAGACAGGATTTCACCATTTTGACCAGGATGGTCTTGATATCTTGACCTCGTGATCCACCTGCCTTGGCCTCCCAAACTGCTGGGATTATAGGTGTGAGCCACCGTGCCTGGCCAGCACAGTTATATTTTAAGGCACCATTCATTGAGCAGTTTGTAAATACTTGAAACATTGAGAAATCACTAGTCTGCGTGTGTAATTTTATAACAATATTAGACTACTTGGAGGAAAAGATCTTTTATGGTGTTAATATTTCTATCCTAGGGTAAAGGCCATGTTCAGTTTTGAAATTCCAGAGCATCATGTTATTGTTACAGCATCGAGTGATGGTTTCATCAAAATGTGGAAGCTTAAGCAAAATAAGGTCAGTGCCTTACCACAATCTAAATATACTTTAATACAAGTCTTGCTCTTAAGTGAGGTAGAATTTTTTTTTAAGGGTCATAAGACATAAATCTGTAAATGAACTTTTTCAGTCTCCTTCAGGCATGATTGATATTAATGGTTTTAAAGTTAGGGTTCCCAAGGGGCTGCCTTGATGGCTGTCATTTCTGAGTCTGAGCTGGCCGGATCCCAGAACTCTTACTGCCCTTTTTAGTCAGAGAAGCTCTACTTTCCTTTCTTGTATATTGGAGTTCTCTGGAAGCTCTTAGGTGAAAATGCTGCCATTGCTAAAAACAATTTGGAAGCTTCTGATCAGTTACGGAATTAACAAACCATTTGAACCAGACAGTTTGGAAAACTAAATTCCCTCCTGTAGACTTCTTACAGTCTCTCTCGGTTTATTCTTTGTTCTCTCATAAACACATTCTGTGAATATGGTTTGTTGAATGTTTCTTTTTCCACAGTTCTTTGTTCAGCCCTAGAAGTAAGACCTGAATTTTCACAATTTTCAATTTCTGAATACTTCTCAGAAATTGGCTCTGTGGATAACATAGTCAAACTAACCATGAGTGAAGATGATATATTACTTCTGAATTCATATTTTGTACTCAAGAAAATGGAGGAAGTTTTAAGGTAACTTGATTATGGAAAAAGAAATTATTGAAAATTCATATTACGAATGTTTGTTTCTTCTATTTAGAAAGTTCGCCCATCTTTACTCTGTGAAGTAAACACTAATGCCAGGCTGACATGTCTTGGAGTGTGGTTAGACACGGTGCCAGACACAAAAGCAAGTCTTCCTCCAGCTGCAGAGCCTTCTCCTGGTAATCAAATTTGATTGTTTTGAAATAAATGATCTGTTATCTCTTAAATTGTAGAAGTGGAGGAAATCTAGATAATTTCACTTTATTGGTAGCCTGTTTATTTCATTCAAGGGGGAGAAACAGGCTTTAAAGGCACTGTCTTTTGTGTTTTAGTAAGTAAAGAACAGTCCAAAATCGGCAAAAAGGAGCCTGGTGACACAGTGCACAGAGAAGAAAAGCAGTCAAAACCTAACACAAAGAAATGCGCTTTAACTGGTGACAGTAAGAAAGCGACACAAGAAAGTAGCCTGGTATCAACCAAGAAGAGCAAAAGGGTAGACGTGTTGGAAAAGAAGAGGAAGAAGAAGAAAATAAAAACAATGCAGTGAATCCCAGGTGTCTCCTAAAAGAACCTTTGTAGATGGGATCATTCTTGATTCTATCTACATGGAATCAAATCAGACGTACCTTAATTTTATTTTTTCCCCTGAGTAAAAGCAAGGAATTTCTTCCTTTGAAGAAAATATACATATTAAAAAGCCACTTTTAGGGTTTTTTTTTAAACAGTGGTAAAATTACTTTTGGCAGACAGTGTTTTGTGCATGATGTATCATGTTGATATATAATATGTTAATGTGTCATTTGTAATTTTTACTTGTACAAAGCAAATAAAGATCTTTCTCAAAACATAATATAAAATATTGAACACATTCTTTATCAGATTTGGATAAAGGAGTCATTATTGAACATTTTCTCCTAAAAGGGGAAGAGTTTAAGAACTGCCTTTGGCCTCTTCAAATGATAAGTAGTAATTTTAATGCAAATTGTGTTTATTTTGGTAACAAGATATAAAAAGATTTTCATACCAAAAATTAAGATAAAGATTATGTATATATAAGATATATATGTATGAAACAAGCATATGCTTAAATTTAGGACAACATATGTAAGATCACAGAGAGATTGGCAGACTTCTTTAAACTACTCTTTTCCGAGCAGTAGATATACAAAATAATTTAAGGACAGGAAAATGACATCTCTAATTTTTATTTTATTCTTTTCAGGACATCAGAAACATTCACTTAGCTGATTTTCTCATAAAATTAGTCTTAAATCCAGTCTGTTGATTAATATGTTCCATCTCTTCTTACCTGGAAAATTACTTTTTTCAGTTACTGGATGTTTTGAAAAGACGCATTTTGGCTGGACATGGTGGCTGACACATATAGTCCCAGCATTTCGGGAGGCTGGGGCAGACTGATAGCTTGAGCCAAGGAGTTTGAGACCAGCATGGGCAACATAAGGAGACCCTGTCTCTCCCAAAAACTTAACTGGGAGCTACATGCACCTGTAGTCCCAGCTACACAAGAGACGGAGGTGAGAAGAATGGCTTGAGCCCAGGATGTGGAAGTCATGGTGAGACTGTGCCACTGTACTACAGCTTGGGCAACAGAGCCAAACTCTGTCTTAAAAAAAAAAGACACATTATTGGGAATCCATAGGTTTGTATTAACTGGGCAGATATTAGATACCTGAGACCATCAGGAGAAACTTCTGATTAGGCAGAATAAGATATCTAACAGGCACTGAATTGCCACTCCATCAGAATAAATTATCTAGGAAATGAACCAAATTGTGTGTCTTAATTTCAGTCTACTCCTCTTTGTTAGCTTATTTCAGGCCTGTTAACGTAAATATAGATCATTGCCTTGTTTTTCTCAATTCAACTTAAATTTTGAGATCGTCGTAGGTTCCCATACACTTTTAAGAAATAATACCGAGATTCCACCTGGTTTTCCCAATCATAACATTATGCAAAACTAGGACAATATCAACAACCAAGCCAAGCTATAATAGAAATGATAGTAACCAAGATATAGAACATTTCTATCAGAATGAACCTATCTGTTGTCCTTATAAGCCATACTTTCCTCTTGTGCTCATATAACTACGCCCACCTTCGTAACCTCTGGCACCAGTGATCTGTTCTCCATCTATAATTTTGCCAAAATTATAATTGGATTATACTTTATTTTGGGATTGGCTTTTTTCACTCACCATAACCTCTGGGCATTGATCCAGACTGTTGCATCAGTAGTCCTGTTTTTAGTGCTGAGTGAGATGTCAATATAGATATACCATAGTAAACACCTGTGAAGGGACATCAGGAATGTTTCCTGTTGTTAGGTATCTAAATAAAGCTGCTGTAAACATTTGTGTACAGGTTTTTATGTGAACCATAGTCTTTATTTCTCTTGGACAAATGCCCAGGAACTCCAAAGTTTTCCAGAATAGCTGTATGATTTTACATTTCTACCAGTAATGTTTGAGTGATCCAGTTTCTCTGCATCGTTTCCAGCATTTAATGTTACTCTTAGCCATTCTGCTAAGAGTGTAGTGATATTTTACTGTGGTTGTAACTCAGAATTGCTCTGAGAGCTAATGATGTTAATCATCTTTCCATGTGCTTATTTGCCATCTTTGTATCATAATTGGTGAAATGTCTTTTGTCCATGTTCAAATTATATATTTTATTTTTTGCTGTTGTATTTCAAGAGTTTTTTCTGAGATGGAGTCTCGCTCTGTCATCCAGGCTGGAGGGCAGTGGTACAATCTTGGCTCACTGCAACCTCCACCTCCCGGGTTCAAGCGATTCTCGTGCCTCAGCCTCTCAAGTAGCTAGGATTGCAGGTAACGTGCCACCACACCCAGCTAATTGGATTTTTAGTAGAGGTGGGCCAGCCATGTTGGCCAGGGTGACTTCAAGTGATCTGCGTGTCTCAGCCTCCCAAAGTTCTGGGATTACAGGCCTGAGCTACCACGCCCAATGGAGAGTTTGTTATATATTATAGAAATATTTGTAGGAAAATATTTTTGCCTAGTCTGTAGCTTGTATTTTATCCTAATAGTCTTTTGCAGAGCTAAAAATTTTTTATTTTGTTGAAATCCAGTTCATCAGTTTTTCCTTTCATGGATCATACTTTTAGTGTTAAGCCCAAGAAACCTTTGTCTAGCAAAGGTTTATCTCTTTGTCCTCAAGAGGTTCTATGTTTTCAAAACCTTCAAAAGGTTTTGTAGAGTTTTACATTTAGTATGTGTTTACTAAATGTTTAATTTGAAGTTTATTTTCTTGCCTATGGACATCAACTAGCTCTAGCCCCTTGATTAAAAAACAGTCCTTCCTCTATTGAAATGAATTTGCATCTTTGCCAGAATTCAACTGAGCATATTAGTGTGGGTCTGTTACTGGGCTCTCCATTTTGTTATGTTGATCTTTTTGCCAGTACCATACAGTCTTAATTACTGCAGCTATATAATAAGCTTTGAATTTAAGTAGAATGATTCTCCCCCTTTTCCCTTCTACCTTTCCATATTAAATTTAGGATAATTCTATCCTCTCCAAAAAAAGAAAAAAAATTATTTATTTGCAGTCGTGTCACGTAATGACAGGGATACATTCTGAGAAATGCCTCATTAGATGGTTTCAACACAAACCTAGATGGTAGAGCCTGCTAACACACCTAGGCCATATGGTACAGTCATAGTCTTAAGTGACCACCGTTGTATATGCCGTCCGTTGTTGACCAAAATGTGATTATACTGCAACCTCTGCCTCCCAGATTCACGAGATTCCCCTGCCTCAGCCTCCCTAGTAGTAGCTGGGATTACAGACGCACACCACCACAGCTGGCTAATTTTTGTCTCTCTAGTTCTATTTATTTTGAGATGGAGTCTCCCTGTCACCCAGGCTGGAGTGCAGTGATGTCATCTTGGCTCACTGCAACCTCTGCCTCCTGGGTTCAAGCTATTCTCCTGCTTGAACTCAAGCCTCCTGAGTAGCTGGGATTACAGGCACCCACCACCACACCCGACTAATTTTTGAATTTTTTTTTTTTGTAAAGACAGGATTTTACCATGTTGGTCATGCTGGCCTCAAACTCCTGACCTTGTGATCTGCCTGCCTCAGCCTCCCAAAGTGCTGGGATTACAGGTGTGAGCCACTCACCTCATCCACATTGTAACATGTATCAGTATTTCTAATTGTCAAATAATATTTCATTGTATGGATATGACACAATTTGTTTATCCATTCAATAGCAGATGCATATTTGTTTCCTCTTGGCTCATATAAATAATGTTGCTTTGACCATAAGTTTTTACATGAACATATGTTTCCATTTTTCTTGGGTACATATATACCTAGAAGTAAAATTCTGTCCAATCAGATGGTTACTCTTATGTTCAATCTTTTGAGGGGCTGCTATACTGTTCTAAAGCAGTCACACCCTTTATATTCCCATCACCAGTGTATGAGTGTTCCAATTTTGCCACATCTTTGCTGACACTTGGTTTTTGTTTCTATTATGGCCATTCCAGTGGATAGGAAGTAGTAGCTCAGTGTGGTTTTGATTTGCATTTTCTGATGGCTAATGATAATGAGCCTCTTACCATTTGCTTTATCTTTTTTGAAGAAATGTTTATTCAGATATATTGCCTATTTTTAAATTGTGTTATTTCTTGTTTTGCTATTGACCTGTAAGAGTTCTCTGTATATTCTTGATACAAATCCATGATCAGATATGTGATTTGCAAATATTTCTCGCCTTCTGTGAGTTGTCTTTTCACTATTTGGTTGGTATCCATTTGAAGGACAAGTCTTTAATTTTGATGAAGTCCAGTTCGTTTTCTCTTTTGTTGCTGGTGCTTTTGGTTTTATATCTAAGAAGGCTTTGCCTAATCCCAGGTAATCAAGTTTTATGTTTATATTTTCTTTAATGAGTTTTGTAGTTTCAGCTGTGGCATATATGTCTATGTTCTATCTATCTTGCATTAATATTAGTGTGAAGGAGTTCAACCAGTTGACATATAGTTTACTTGTGGATTCTTTTTTTTTTTTTTGAGATGTACCTTTGCTGTTGTTGCCCAAGCTGGAGTGCAATGGCACGATCTTGGCTCACTGCAACCTCTGCCTCCCGAGTTCAAGCGATTCTCCTGCCTCAGCCTACTGAGTACCTGGGATTACAGGAGTGCGCCACTACGCCTGGCTACTTTTTGTATTTCAGACCTTTCTTTACATAATAGCTTTACCAGTGACAAGGACTGTAGATAATACAATTCTCTGAGCTGGAATTTCTTCAAGTATAAGGTAGGGGAGAGGGTGCCAGAATCATGATGGATGATCCTAATTAAGGTTTGAGGCTTGCGCCTACATAGGGAAGAATGAATTCCTAAAGCCATTCTCTGCCGGTTAAGACAAGTCTCCTTATTAATTGTTCAGGAAAGTCTTCAATTAAAGTGAAGGTCTGGCATACTGCAGTTGCCGAAAGTTCTTAGTCATTATCAGCTTTGGCTGGTTAGAATCAGCTATGATAAACACGGGCTTCAATTTTGCTATCTGGAAGGTAGGGTGCTGCGGCAAGTGGAAGTTTTTCAAGAATATGCGCTACAATTTGCTTTATTCCCTGACGATTCTATTCATCAGATTTGTCTATGTTGATACTTGCATGGGATGAAGGAGAGGGAGAAGTCAACGATGACAGCAAATTTTAGTGTAGAGCAACCGAGCGAATGGTGGTGCAGGAAACAGAAGAGGAGCTGCTCGGAGGTGGGAATGGAGATAACGTCATGCTGTGGACATTTGGGATCCACAGAGCTGGGTGGAGATCAGATTTAACTTGCTCTTTCTTCCCCTTTAAGATAATTCTCAAGTAGCCTCACTCCCTAAAACAAACGGATATTTGGCAGTGAGCCAGCCACATTATTCTGCAGCCGCCATGTTTTCTTGCAGGTAGAAGGCAGGCCCTTTTTGGTGTAAACAAACGAGATCGGGCTTGAGTGACAATCCTCCCTGACGGCCAGTATCTGGTCTTATACCCTGTAACTTGTCCCTCTATTAATGGGGTTCTTCAGAATCCAGCCTCAGAAGCCCTCTTCCCGCAGCTGTGGCCTCCACCTCTGGCCTGGCGCAGCTCACGTGGTCCAGCTTGTGCAAGACCCAATTCCAATTCCGTGTTTCTGGCTTTTGGCCACTCAGGATAGAACCTGGGACTGGTGCTGGTCGGTCCTGTAGGCGCTGTGGATCGAAGAAGCACAGAGATTCCCCGCCCCGTTTGCGGGACTCTGACGCGCTCCGCGATGCCCCGCCCCACTCCCCGCCCACTGGAAGCAGGGCACGTGTTGCTATTCTGAGGCTGAAGCATCGCGATTATTTGCCTGCCCCTCTCCCAGAACATTGCGCATGCGCCATGAAACCGCGCCTCCCCCGCCCCGGTCCCTGGACGCCGAGCGACCGCCGCCGCCGCGAGACCTGGCTGACCTGCCCCGCGGCTTGCACGCCCTTGTAGACTCTACGGGCTTTCGGGAGATCGGTGCGGGTACTTGGGGATTATTGTTACTGTTTTCTGCAACTTCTAACTTTTAGTGATTATTTAGGAGTTTCACGGCCGTCTGCTTTTCGTCCCCCCGATTCAGCCGGGCCTTTAGTCGGTGTGTTCGGTGCTTTTCTCGTTGGGTATTTTCTACTTGTCTTAAAAGTGGTTGTGGACGTGCGGAGCCCCTGAGCTCCTGAGGCAAAGGCTCACCCATGTAGCATAGTGTTGCCTCGTTTCCTGGAGGTTTTGTTGCTCCATCTCTTTAAAAGCCTCGCTAACTCATTGCCAGTTAAGAACTGTCGCAAGATCCCAAGCCCCCTGCCCTTTCCCGTTTTATGGAAACTTATTTTTTTTTCTTGAGGGAGGGTCTCTGTCGCCCAGGCTGGAGTGCAGTAGCCAGAATATGTCTCATTACTGCCTCTGTCTCCTAGGCTCAAGTCGTCCTCCCATCTCCGCCTCCAAGGTAGCTGGGATTACAGGCCTGTACCACCATTCCCGGTTAATTTTTTTGTATTTTTTTAGTAGACAGTGGGTTTCACTATGTTGGCCAGGCTGGTCTCGAACTCCTAACCCCAGGTGATCCGCCCGCCTGTGCCTCCCAAAATACAGGGATTACAGGCGTGAGCCACCGCGCCTGGCCTGATTGTTTAAACAGAATAAACGGGATATGCATTGCTTTCATCTTGTTAGGCTCACTGAATACAGGATACTTTTCTGTAAGAAAATAGGAGCTGTTTTTCCAAGGCTGCAATGTCACATGTGAATATGGCTAGGGTTTCTGTATATTTTATCCTCTATTTCTGCCCTCCTAACAATAACTGTGAGTTGGACGCAGATGTTTCTAAAGAATTTGACTGTTGAAATTAGATGTTGCGGCGGGGGCGAAAAGCAGCACCCCGGCCTCTTCTACACGAAAGAGACGTTAAAGTAGTTGGATTAAGGGCCGCTTCTACACAAAAGAGACATTAAAGTCGTTGAATTAAGGGCACGGGAGGACTTGCTTTCCGATTTAGTGGTAATGTGGATAGCTGATGAAGTGGCTAACACGTTTCCTAATTATAGAGCTGGTCAGTTGACCTTGCTGAGTTTCCTGTGGGCCTATGTGATTAGAATTGAGGTTTTGATGACAGTGGTCGGCATCTGTTCAGCGTTTACTATGTGCTAAGCACTTTTACCTATGACCCCCACCCCCACCCCACCCCCAAATGGTCACAACAGCCTCAGGAAATTGGTAGCAGTGTTATCCCCATGGTACAGTGAAGGATGCTGAGACTTAGGTTGTGTAGCTTGCAGGTTGGACACACTTCTTTCTGACTGCTGGAGAGCTGTGCTTTTAACTGCCTCTGATCCAGCCCGTTTTCTGCAGGTGCAGGCCTGGGGTAGTCTCCTGTCCGGACAGAGAAGAGAAGAATGCAGGACACCGGCTCAGTGTGAGTGGACAGTAAATGTCAATGGAGTAGCCAGGAGCTTGTGGAAACCAGAGTTCCTTTCCTCAGCTGAAAACCCTAAAAGTAGACTGCCTGGGGCAGCATGGGCAATAGGAGGATCAATGGACCTGTGTGCCAGTGACTTGGATTTTAGTCCCAGCTCTGGCTTTGCTGAGTTGTGTGACTTTCAGAAAGTCATTCAACCTCTGTGGGCCTTATTTCAGTGATAGGACCTGTGGGGAATGATTACCTTTTAGTCCGATCAGTGACATTATGGTTTGTTTTTAAAGCCAGGTTAGCACTGACTTCTCACGCTCATGTTTTCAGAGTGCCTTTGCATTGGATTGGTTTTGGCTATGCAGCACTGGTTGCTACTGGTGGGATCATTGGCTATGTAAAAGCAGGTATGGTTTTGTTTTTACTTGGCCTCTTAACATCTTCACATTGTTACAGTGAAAAGCGAGTACCCAGGGTCCCTGAAGAGCCATTGAGTCCAGTTTGCTGTAGGTCCCCAGGCTGGGGTGCAGGCTTCCTTGTCAGTCTTGCAGCTCCTGCATTTGCCTTTTGGTTATCTGGTCAAGCCAAGCCAGGCCTCTTGTCAAATTCCTAGTTTTTGTCTCTTTATCTAAAGACAAACAGGGGTTGTTGTAGATTGTTGCTATCATTGACGGCCATGCATCAGCCATGGCCCCAAGTGCCATCTCTGGCCTCAAGTAGGAGGAAACCTCTGGTCTTCACAGACTTGTGTTTTGAAGTCTCCTCGTTAGACCGGGCAGGGGTGTGTCAGTGGCTGTGTTTGTTTCTGCCCCCTTGTCCTTGCCTACATTCCCACCCCAACCCCTGCACCAGAATTCTTATTTTCAAATTTTTTATTTTTTTTTTAACTGACTGTTTCCCCCTCTCCTTTTGTGATTTGCTGGATGTCCTGCCTGTACATCCTGCCTGGTCATGGTTGATCAGGCCTGACTAGAAAGAAGGCCTAGTCACAGTTCCATGTAAGGAAGGAAGATGGCCTTCTTTCCTTTCCTTAGATGGAAGTGCCCTGCTTATTAGAGAAGAAAAAGATGGGGTGGGAAGACCCTGGCTTCTCTGATAAGATAGAAAAGTCCCTGAAACATCCTCCTGCTTGTATCTACCTTGGTTATGAGCTGAGAGTTCTCTTTGCTGTCTTTCTTTGTAGGGAGGGGTGTCTGGTGGATTCTGTTAGTGAAGTAAGTGCCTCATGTTAAAATGAAGCTGTGTTTGCTTCCCTCTAGGCAGTGTGCCATCCCTGGCTGCAGGGCTGCTCTTCGGCAGCCTAGCCGGCCTGGGTTCTTACCAGCTGTCTCAGGATCCAAGGAACGTTTGGGTTTTTTTAGGTATGTCTGCTTTTGTATGTCCTTAGGGCAGCTGTGTATGCGGATTACTCTTTTTCCCAAAGGCCCTGGTTTGGTGGGATGGGGCAAGTTTGTCATACTTAACTTATGACAGTTTCACTGCTTCTACCAAGTCTTTGGAAAGTTTTAAAATGAGAGTGCAGATGCAGGAATTGTGCTGGTTTCTGTTTATCTTTTATGTACAGAATGTGGAAAGATTTTTATACCTCATGAATGTATCTACCCAGTATCATTAAACTTCTATATGTAGAAATTGAGTGATAAACTCCTGTATAACAGTTTAGCATTAAACTTCTGTAAGGCCAATATGTGTCAACTGTTGAGGTCCCCACTGAAGACCATTGGCTTCATCATCACTAAAGTATCACATATCTGGGTTAGGTTTGCATTGGAATTGCAGTGTTCTTATTTGAAAATCACCTTTAGCAGTCAACTAAAATGTGACTGCGGTGGCTCAGGCCTGTAATCCAAGCACTTTGGGAGGCTGAGGCAGGTGGATCATGAGGTCCACAGTTTGAGACCAGCCTGGCCAACATGGTGAAACCCCGTGTCTACTAAAAATACAAAAATTAGCCAGGTGTGGTGGCACGTGCCTGTAGTCCCAGCTACTGGGGAAGCTGAGGTGGGAGAATCACTTGAATCTGGGAAGCGGAGGTTGCAGTGAGCTGAGACGGCACCATTGCACACCAGCCTGAGTGACAGAGTAAGACTCCATCTCAAAAAAAACAAAACCAAAAAAAAAAAACAATTATAAAGCTTAGCTGGGCATGGTGGTGGGCACCTGTAGTCCCTGCTACTCAGGAGGCATAGGCAGGAAAATCATTTGAACCTGGGATGTGGAGGTTGCAATGAGCTGAGATCACGCCACTGCACTCCAGCCAGGGCGACAAAGCGAGACTCCGTCAACAAAAAAAACATAAAAAACATGGATGTAGAAGCAGGACTGGAAATGTACCCTGTGAACAGCAAGGACAGTGAATAGTGTGGGGGAACAGAAGAGTCCTTATCAGGGTGGCTTTCAGCACATTTCTGTTGGGCTCCACCTGTGTGTCAGACACTGCTAGGAGTATGCATTTGTCACCATCTCCACAAACCCCCGATGTGGGAATGAGTGCCGTGCAGGAGGGAGAAGCCTTATGATCCATACACATCAGCTGGGGTTGGGAAGGGAGGTCAGTGATGGCTGATGAGGTGTGCTGGGGAAGGAGGTGCACCCAAGTCCCAGCTCTGCCTAACAGCTTCCTCCCTCATGATCCAGAATGACTTTCAGTCTGTGTTTTCCCTTCCTCTAATCCTACTCTACTCAGCAAATGACCTCATACCTACTTCAGGGGAAAAAAGCAGCCATCAGGTGGGGACTCCCTGGAGGCTTTAATTTCCAAGCCTCAGTCCTGTTTCTCTCCTCTCCGAGACCAGCGTCTTCCTCTGGGTTTGGGTGTCTTCTCCCCGACCTTCTCTGGAGTTTTACACTGGCAAGGATCCTGTCTTGTATTTGTATTCCCCCTTTTAGGTGGACCCCCTGTTGACATTCAGATGTGCTTGTCTCCTTTCCCTTCATGAAATTCCCTTTTTTTGAAACAGAATCTTACTGTGCTGCCCAGGCTGGAGTGCAGTAGCAAGATCTCAGCTCACTGCAAACTCCATCTCCCGTGTTCAAACAATTCTTCTGCCTTAGCCTTCTGGGGAGGTGAGATTATAGAAATCTGCCAACACAACCAACTAATTTTTCTGTTTTTAGTAGAAATGGGTTTTGCCATGTTGGCCACGCTGGTCTCAAACTCCTGACCTCAGGTTTGGGAGGCTGAGGCGGGCAGATTGCCTGAGCTCAGTTTGAGACCACTGTGGGCAACATGGTGAAACTTGGTCTCACTAAAATACAAAAAAAAAACAAAAAAAACACAACAGGTGTGGTGGTTGGCACCTGTAGTCCCAGCTACTTAGGAGGCTGAGAGTTGAGAATTGCTTGATCTTGGGAGGTGGAGGTTGCAGTGAGCCAAGATCATGCCATTGCACGCCAGCCTGGGCAACAAAGTGAGACTTTGTCTAAAAAAAAAAAAAAAATGCCACTCTGTTCATGTTTCCCTCTACTTAGTATCCTTTAATAGCTTCTCATTGCTCTTAGGGTGAAAACCCAGTCCCTAGTATGGGCTTACAAGGCTCCATGTGGTCTGGCCCCTCTTATTCACAAACTTCATCTTGACTTCTGTGCCACACTGGCCTTTTACGGTGAATGTGCTGTGCTCTCTCATCCCAGGTCCTCTGCATATACTGTCCCCTCTCCCTGGAATGGGCCTTCCCATCCTTCAGCTCATTAACTCCTGCTGTAAATTTAGATCTCTGCCAATCTTCCCTTCTTTGGCTAAGACTTGCATGATCTTCCTGAGTAGGTTGATCCCCTTGTTATGCTTTTTTGTGTAGCATCAATTATACCTGAAGCACAAATTGTACCTTCTTTTTCTTTGTGTGTTTCTTTAAAGTCTGTCCCATCAGACTGAAGCATTGTAAAAGGGCAAAGACAGTTTCGATTACCTTTGTATTCTCCAGTACCTAATACAGTGTTTGACCAATATTGGTAATTGGATCCATAGGATGTGGGCAGCCAGTAATCTCCCCCTACCAGGGGCAGGAGGAATGAGCATAGGATGAGGCGTGAGCCTTCAGAGATAAGTGGGGCTTGGCCCACTTCTGATTCCCCTGCGTAGAAGATATAATGAGTTTTCACCCTTCTTTATATCTTTTTCATCAGCTACATCTGGTACCTTGGCTGGCATTATGGGAATAAGATTCTACAACTCTGGAAAATTCATGCCTGCAGGTTTAATCGCAGGTGCCAGGTACTTTCCCTTCTATTACTCTTCTTTACCATGTAGAGTTCAGTTTATTGCCTGGGATACTTTATGCATTCAAAACCTTACTTGTTTCAGGATATCTGATGCTATGCATCAACTGACATTTGATTTATACACTGATTGGAAACACTTCAAAAGCAATAGCTGGTTTAATGTCAAAATGGCTGAGTATATCCATTCACTGTGGAAATGGCTTTGTTCTCATATTTGCTCTCTGGTCCATCCTAGCTCCTCCCCATGGTGGCCAAAGTTTCAGTGCAAACCATGACCGCAGCCTTTTGTGTGACTTGCACAGAAGGTATGGGGGTCCCATATTTCTTAGACATGTAGGTGTTTGTTATAGAAAATTTTGTTAAAAGGGAATTTCGATTGAATCCTGTTTTTTAATTTTTTTTTTTGAGATGGAGCACTGATCTGTCGCCCAGGTTGGAGTGTCGTGGTGCAATCTCTTATCACTGCAACCATCGGCCTCCCTGGTTCAAGTAACTCTCATGCCTCAGCCTCCATAGTAACTCGTACTACAGGCATGCACCACTATGCCTGGCTAATTTTTGTAGTTTTGGTAGAGATGGGGTTTCACCATTGTTGGCCAGCCTGGTCTCAAACTCCAGACCTCGTTATCCACTCGCCTCGGCCTCCCAAAGTGCTAGGATTACAGGCGTGACCCACTGCGCCTGGCCCTGTTTTCTAATTTTGATTATAAAACCTAAACCAAATTGTGGTTTTAAAAAGTTTAGTTATAGGCCAGGTGTGATGGCTCCTGCCTGTAATCCCAGCACTTTGGGAGGCTAGAGTGGGTGGATCACTTGAGATCAGGAGTTCAAAACCAGTCTGGCCAACATTGTGAAACCCCATCTCTATGAAAAATATAAAAGTTAACCGGTCGTGGTGGCACACACCTGCAATCCTAGCCACTCAGGAGGCTGAAGCAGGAGAATCGCTTGAACCTGGGAGGTGGAGGTTGCAGTGAGCCAAAATTGTGGTGCTGCACTCCAGCTTGGGCAACAGAGTGAGTGAGAGCGTGTCTCAGAAAAGAAAAGAAAAATTTAGTTGTTAAGTATCTAAAGACATCCTGAAGGTGGGGGAATTTTAAAAAATCTGTTTTGGGCCAGGCATGTTGGCTCACACCTGTAATCTCAGCACTTTGGGAGGCTGAGGCAGGCAGATTGCCTGAGGTAAGATACAAAATTAGCTGCGCATGGTGGCACATGCCAACTACTCAGGAGGCTAAGGCAGGAGAATCGCTTGAACCTCGGTCGTGGAGGTTGTGGTGAGCCAAGATCATGTCACTGCACTCCAGACTGGGCAACAAAAGCGAAACTTTGTCCAAAAAAAAAAAAATCTGTTTTGGAAAAAAATTACATGCTCTACTCTAATTGTAGTTGTGATGCTGCCAGTATAATGTTTTATACCTGAAGCAAAAGAGTCAGTGTGGATCAAGGTCTAGAGCAGTAAACTGAAAAGCTGGAGATTCTACCATTAATTAGTTTTGTGTGGTGGGGAAGTCTTGTTTTCTTGCCTCCACTTCATCTCTTTAAGTTGTTGGCAGTTGCATTAGGATCCAGCTCATGTGTGCTGTTTTAAGACCGCAGTGTGAGACTGTCCCTTGGCATGCTTTTTCTCTGGTTCCTGCAAAGATGGAAATTTTACCTCTGACCATCTCTTGCCTTTGTATCTCCTCCCCTATGCAGTTGTGAGGAAGCTGGAGTTCCTTAAAAACAGTTGCCTGTTCTGTCCTTTACCTGACGTTTCTATCTGTGTTTCTTTTAAACAGTTTGCTGATGGTTGCCAAAGTTGGAGTTAGTATGTTCAACAGACCCCACTAGCAGAAGTCATGTTCCAGCTTGGACTCATGAAGAATTAAAAATCTGGCATATTTTACTATTTTCAATGTATGAAGAGAAATAAAGGCAGCATTTTTTCATCTGACATTTTACCTAAAAAAAAAAAAGCCACCAAACATAGCAGAGGGGTGGAAAATCAGTCGTTAGGATTACAATCCTACAGGGGTGGCAAGTATGTTACAGAAGAGCTTAATAAGACCCTCATAGAGATCAATTCTTATATATTGATGTGATCTCTTTTTTTTGTATCTGTAGGTAAATCTCAAGGGTAAAATGTCAGGTGTCAACTTTGAGGGCCCTGAAATCCCATTCCCTGCTTGGAGGAACGGTGTGAAAAATATCTTAGAGATTTAGAATATCTGTTCTTTTGCTCATCTTAAAGCACAGACTGATGTTGAAATTATGTTAAATGAAATACCAATGAAAATAAAGTTTACTATAAAAAATATTTCCTATGATGTCTTCATTGCTAGAGCTGTCTAGTTCATAGAATGAGATGTCGATAGCAGCAAAATATAGAAATGTGAAAGTATTTTGTTGCTATTTAGAAACCTATTTTGAGTAATTTAAGGACCAAGGAAAGTTATTTGATTGTACATTGCATTGAAGCTTATTTCAAAAATGATCTCTGGGGATTTTCTTAGTTTTTCAAGAGAAAGGGTCTTTGTTGCCGAGGCTGGAGGGCAGTGGTGCAATCATATCTCACCGTAGCCTCAAACTCTTGGGCCCAATCATCTTACCTCAGCCTCCTGAATAGCTGGTACAGCTGGTGCGTATCAACACACCCTACTAATTTATTTCATTTTTTTGTAGAGATGGGATCTTGCTTTGTTGCCCAGGCTGGTCTCAAATTCCTGGTCTCAAGTGATCCTCTCTCCTGGCCTCCCAAAGTGGTGGAGTAATAAGCATGAGCTATTGTACCTGGCCACTGAGGATTTCTAAGATTAGGATTGTGTAGAGAAAAAAAAAAGGTATTTTTGTTGTTGTTGTAATTACTTCATACATAAATGTGAAACTAGAAGACTCATCTAGAGCTTGAATCACCTAATTTGGTCTCTACATTGGATACATTAACTGGATACTGGTACATTTCTAGTTTACTTTATTCCTGTTTTAGCATGAAGAATTAACTCAATCTGGTACCCCTTGCTTTAGTTTTCATTCCCTCTTTAAAAGGAAAGGATACTAGCTACTGAGCTCTACCCTAACTGGCATTGGTTTACAGTATGATTCAGGCATCGTATGTATTAGCATACACCCCTTGAAATTGTTCCTAGTTTTCTATCCTTTTTTATAGGATACCAGACAATTAAGGGCACTTGTGTTGCAGTGGTAGAGGTATCAGAAGGCCATAGACCAGCCAAACACACCATCTTCTCAGGCTTCTATAGCTAATATTTTGAATTGTGATGTTGGCCATTTTTTCATGTGTCATGGAATGTTTTCCAAAGGGCATACATTTTTGCCACCTTCAGTCATAGAGGAGGACCTGGCTCCTCCTGAATGTGGGAATTTAGGTGTCAAGTTGATGCCTGTGTGACTATTTGGTCCCCAGCAATCAGCCTGGAAAATTCTAAGGCTGCCCACTGATGGGAGGCATGAGGTCTTCATAGCTCTTGCCAACTCCCCTTGTTCCCGCTTCTCTGCAAAGATCCTGGAGTATTTACTGTCACAAGGGTTGTGCTGGGTCCTAGCACTGTATAAAGGACAAGCCATGGTGCTTGCCCTGTGTACCTACACAGAAGAGCTATGTGTTCTGGTCGAGGAACGACACTACAAGAGGCAGCATATTGTAGAGTTAAGGATGTAGGCTTTGACTTAGACCTAACTTTAAATAATAGCTCTAACACTGACCAGGAATGTAGGTAATTTAATTCTCTGAGGTTCAATCTCTTCATGTATAAGGTGGGGGAAGGACGTGAGGATCATCGTGGATGATCCTAATTAAGGTTTGAAGCTTGCCCCTGCATAGAAATGAGTCCCTAAAGCCATTCCCTGCCGGTTAAGACAAGTCTCCTTATTAATTGTTCAGGAAAGTCTTCAATTAAAGTGAAGGTCTGGCATACTGCAGTTGCTGCAAGTTCTTAGTCATTCAGCTTTGGCTGGTTAGAATCAGCTATGATAAACACGGGCTTCAGTTTTGCTATCTGGAAGGCAGGTGCTGCGGCAAGTTTTAAGTTTTTCCTTAAGAATATGCGCTACAATTTGCTTAATTCACTGACGATTCTATTGATCAGATTTGTCTATGTTGATACTTGCATGGGATGAAGGAGAGGGGAAGTGAACGATGACCGCAAATTTTAGTGTAGAGCAACCGAGCGAATGGTGGTGCAGGAAACAGAAGAGGAGCTGCTCCGAGGTGGAAATGGAGATAACGTCAGGCTGCGGACATTTGAGATCCACAGAGCTGGGTGGAGATCAGATTTAACTTGCTCTCTCTCCTTTAAGATGCTTCTCAAGTAGCCTCACTTCCTAAAACAAACGGATATTTGGCAGTGAGCCACATTATTCTGCAGCCGCCATATTTTCTTGCATGTTTTTGGTGTAAACAAACGAGATCGGGCTTGAGTGACAATCATCCCTGATGGCCCGTATCTGGTTTATACTCGGTAACTTGTCCCTGTATTAATGGGGTTCTTCAGAATCCAGCCTCAGAAGCCCTCCTCCCGCAGCGGTGGCCTCCACCTCCGGCCTGGCGCAGCTCACGTGGTCCAGCTTGTGCAAGACCCAATTCCAACTCCGTGTTTCTGGCTTTTGGCCACTCAGGATAGAACCTGGGACTGGTGCTGGTCGGACCTGCAGGCGCCGAGCCTGGGGACAGAGGAAGCAGAGATTCCCCGCCCCATTCCAAGACTTCCTGGCGCGCTGCGATGCCCCGCCCTACTCCCAGCCCCCGGGATGCAAGGCGCTTGCTGTTGCTGCTCGGCAGCTCTAGGTCCGCTGCCGCCGTCCCCTATTCCCTGCCCGTCCCTCTCCCGGTACACTGCGTACGCGCCACAACGCTCCGCCCCTCTCCCGCCCTGTCGCGCCCCCCGGGAGGCAGAGCCTACGCGGCCGCGTTTCCGGCGAAACCTGGCTGCATTACCCCGCGGCTTCTGTGCCCGTGTGGACCGTGCGTGCCTTCGGAAGATCGGTGCGGACCCTTGGGGAATAGTCTTATTATTTTCTGCCTCTTTTAGCTTTTAGTGATTATTTAGGAGTTTCACGGCGGTCTGCTTTTCGTCCCCCGGATTCAGCCGGGCCTTTAGTCGGTGTGGTCGGTGCTTTTCTCGTTGGGTATTTTCTGCTTGTCTTAAAAGTGGTGGTGGACACGCGGAGCCCCTCAGCTCCTGAGGCAAAGGCTCACCCATGTAGCATAGTGTTGCCTCGTTTCCTGGAGGTTTTGTTGCTCCATCTCTTTAAAAACCTCGCTCACTCACTGCAACCTCCAGTTAAGAACTATGGGCAAGATCCCAAGCCCCCTGCCCTTCCTCGTTTTATGGAAATTTAATTTTTTTTTTTTTGAGGGAGGGTCTCGCTCTTGTCGCCCAGGCCGGAGCGCAGAATATGTCTTACTGCAGCCTCTGCCTCCAGAGCTCAAACTAGGCTCCCACTTCAGCCTTGCCTGGCCTGATTCTTTAAACAAAATAAACGGGGTGTGTGTTGCTTTCCATCTTGTTAGGCTCACTAGATACAAGATAGTTTTCTGTAAGAAAATAAGAGCGCTGTTTTTCCAAGGGTGCAGTGTCAGATGTGACTGACTGGGGTTTCCTTATATTTTATCCTTCCCTTATCCACCCAATATTTTATCCGTCCTCCTAATTGTAACTGTGAATAGGGGCTGGGCGCTGTGGCTCACACCTGTAATCCCAGCACTTTGGGAGGCTGAGGCGGGCATAACGAGGTGAAGAGTTCAAGACCAGCCTAGATGGTGAAACCCTGTCTCTACTAATATACAAAAATTGGGCCGGGCGCGGTGGCTCAAGCCTGTAATCCCAGCACTTTGGGAGGCCGAGGCGGGTGGATCACGAGGTCAAGAGATCAAGACCATCCTGGTCAACATGGTGAAACCCCGTCTCTACTAAAAATACAAAAAATTAGCTGGGCATGGTGGCGCGTGCCTGTAATCCCAGCTACTCAGGAGGCCGAGGCAGGAGAATTGCCTGAACCCAGGAGGCGGAGGTTGCGGTGAGCCGAGATCATGCCATTGCACTCCAGGCTGGGTAACAAGAGCGAAACTCCCATCTCAAAAAATAAAATAAAATAAATAAACAAAAATTAGCCGGGTGTGGTGGCGCATTCCTCTAATCCCAGCTATTCGGGAGGCTGAGGCAGGAGAATCGCTTAAACCAGGGAAGCGATGGTTGCAGTGAGCCAAGACTGTGTCACTGCGCTCAAGCCTGGGCGACATAGTGAGACTCCATCCCCTCACCCCCCAAAAAAAACCTGTGAGTTGGATGCAGAAGTTTCTAAAAAAGTTGAGTATTGAAATTGGGTGTTTTGGAAGGGACAAAAAGCAACACCCCTACCTCCCCCAAAAAGAGACGTTAAAGTAGTTGGATTAAGGGCACGGGGGTACTAGCTTTCCGATTTAGTGGCGGTATGGTTAGCTGATGAAATGGCTAACACATTACCTGATTATAGAGCTGGTCAGTGGGTCCTGATCAGTTTGCTGTGATTAGAATTGAGGTTTTGATGACAATGGTCGGCATCTGTTCAGCGTTTACTATGTGCTAAGCACCTTTACCTGTGACCCCTCCCCACCCCCAAATGCTCACAACAGCCTCAGGAAATTGGTAGCAGTGTTATCCCCATGGTACAGTGAAGGATGCTGAGACTTAGGTTGCATAGCTTGCAGGTTGGACACACTTCTTTCTGACTGCTGGAGAGCTGTGCTTTTAACTGCCTCTGATCCAGCCCATTTCCTGCAGGTGCAGGCCTGGGGTAGTCTCCTGTCCGGACAGAGAAGAGAAGAATGCAGGACACCGGCTCAGTGTGAGTGGACAGTAAATGTCAATGGAGTAGCCAGGAGCTTGTGGAAACCAGAGTTCCTTTCCTCAGCTGAAAACCCTAAAAGTAGACTGCCTGGGGCAGCATGGGCAATGGGAGGATCACTGGACCTGTGTGCCAGTGACTTGGGTTTAAGTCCCAGCTCTGGTTTTGCTGAGTTGTGTGACTTTCAGAAAGTCATTCAACCTCTGTGGGCCTTATTTTCAGTGATAAGACATGTCAGGAATGATTACATTTTCTTTTTTTTATGAGATGGAGTCTCGCTCTGTTACCACACTGGAGTGCAGTGGCATAATCTCAGCTCACCGCAACCTCCACCTCCCAGGTTCAAGTGATTCTCCTGCCTCAGCCTCCTAAGTAGCTGGGAGTACAGGTGTGGGCCACCACGCCTGACTAATTTTTGTTTTGTTTTGTTTTTTGAGAGGGAGTTTTGCTCTTGTTACTCAGGCTGGAGTGCAACAGCGTGATCTCGGCTCACCGCCACCTCCGCCTCCTGGGTTCAAGCAATTCTCCTGCCTCAGCCTCCTGAGTAGCTGGGATTACAGGCACGTGCCACCATGCTCAGCTAATTTTTTGTATTTTTAGTAGAGACGGGGTTTCACCATGTTGACCAGGATGGTCTCGATCTCTTGACCCCGTGATCCACCCGCCTCGGCCTCCCAAAGTGCTGGAATTACAGGCTTGAGCCACTGCGCCCCGCCTAATTTTTGTATTTTTAGTAGAGATGGAGTTTCACCATTTTGGCTAGGATGATCTTTATCTCCTGACCTCATGATCTGCCTGCCTCGGCTTCCCAAAGTGCTGGGATTACAGGTGTGAGCCACCCCACCTGGCAGGGATGATTACCTTGTAGTTCCATCCTATGACAGTATGGTTTGTTTACAAAGCCTGGTTGGCACTGACTTCTCCCCCTGGTGTTTTCAGAGTGCCTTTGCATTGGTTGGGCTACGGCTATGCAGCACTGGTTGCTTCCGGCGGGATCTTTGGCTATGTAAAAACAGGTATGGTTTTGTCGTTACTTAGCCTCTTAACATCTTCACGCTGTTAGAGTGAAAAGTGAGTGCCCAGGCTCCCTGAAGAGCCATGTCTTTTTTTTTGCTTTTTTGTTGTTGTTGCAAACAGGCACTTGTCTGAGGAGCCATCTCCTTTGAGTCAGGTTTGCTGTAGGTCCCCAAGCTGGAGTGCAGGCTTCCTTGTCAGTCTTGCAGCTCCTATACTGCCTTTTGGATATCTGGCAAAGCCAAGCCAGCCTTCTTGTAGAATTCCTTGTTTTTGCTTCTTTATCTAAGATAGGCAGGGGTGATTGTAGATTGTTACTGTTGATTGCCATGCTTCAGCCATGGCCTCCAAGTGCCATCTCTGGCCTCAAGTAGGAGGAAACCTCTGGTCTTCACAGACTTGTGTTTTGAAGTCTCCTCGTTAGAGGCAGGGGTGTGTCAGTGGCTGTGTTTGTTTCTGCCCCCTTGTCCTTGCCTACATTCCCACCCCAACCCCTGCTCCAGAATTCTTATTCTCAAGATTTTTTATTTTTATTTTTTTTAACTGACTGTTTCCCCCTCTCCTTTTGTGATTTGCTGGAGGTCCTGCCTGTACAACCTGCCTGGTCATGGTTGATCAGGCCTGACTAGAAAGAAGGCCTAGTCACAGTTCCATGTAAGGAAGGAAGATGGCCTTCTTTCCTTTCCTTAGATGGAAGTGCCCTGCTTATTAGAGAAGAAAAAGATGGGGTGGGAAGACCCTGGCTTCTCTGATAAGATAGAAAAGTCCCTGAAACATCCTCCTGCTTGTTTCCACCTTGGTTATGAGCTGAGAGTTCTCTTTGCTGTCTTTCTTTGTAGGGAGGGGTGTCTGGTGGATTCTGTTAGTGAAGTAAGTGCCTCATGTTAAAATGAACACTGTGTTTGCTTCCCTTTAGGCAGAGTGCCATCCTTGGTTGTGGGGCTGTTCTTCGGCAGCCTAGCGGGGCTGGGTTCTTACCAGCTGTCTCAGGATCCAAAGAACGTTTGGCTTTTCCTAGGTATGTCTGCTTTTGTATGTCCTTAGGGCAGCTGTGTATCCTGATTAGTCTTTTCCAAAAGGCCCTGGTTTGATGGGATGGGGTGACTTCATCATACTTAGGACAGTTACACTGCTTTAAAATAGGGGTAGGGTGGTGAGAATCGTGCTGGTTTCTGTTTATCATTTATATACAGAATATGGAAAGATTTCCATACTTCATGAACGTATTTATCTGGTATAATTTGCATTAAACTTGTAAAAATAAAAAAATGGAAAAATAAATTAGCTGGGTATAGTGGCAGGCACCTGTAGTGCCAGCCACTCAGGAGGCTGAGACGAGAATTGCTTGATCCCAGGAGGTAGAGGTTGTAGTGAGCCAAGGTCATGTCACTACACTCCAGCCTGTGTGGTAGAGTGAGACTCTGTCTCAAAAAAAAAAAAAAAAATGCAATTCTGTTCATGTGTCTGTCTGCTTAGTATTCTTTAATAACTTCTCATTGCTCTTAGAATGAAAACCCAATCCCTAGTATGGCCTTCAAGGCTCCATGTTGTCAGGGACCTCCTCCTCACAAGCTGCATCTTGACTTCTGTGCCACACTGGCCTTTTAGGGTGAATGTGCTGTGCTCTCTCTCATCCCAGGTCCTCTGTATATACTGTCCCCTCTCCCTGGAATGGGCCTTCCCATCCTTCAGCTCATTAACTCCTTCTGTAATTTCAGATCCCAGCCAATCTTCCCTTCTTTGGCTAAGCCTAGCACGATCTCCCTGAGTAGGTTGATCCCTGTAATGCTTTTTTGTGTAGCATCAATTATACCTGAAGCACAAATTGTACCCTCTTTTTCTTTGTGTGTTTCTTTAAAGTCTGTCCCATCAGACCTGAAGCATTGTAAAAGGGCAAAGACAGTTTCGATTACCTTTGTATTCTCCAGTACCTAATACAGTGCTTGACATGTAGTAGGTGCTTTGACAGATGGCCAGTGGGAATTGTGTGCAGGGTAGAGGAAATACTGTCTGCATGGCATGAAAAACAGCAGCATTTTGGAGAAAACTAACACACTGATGGCTGAAGTATGAATTTTGCAGAAGATGAGTGGTGAGAAAGAGATGAGGCCGGAAGGGCAGACATGGCCCAGGCTTTGAAGGGTCCTGTTTGACCAATATTGGTAATTGGATCCATAGAATGTGGGCAGCCAGTAATCTCCCCCTACTGGGGGCAGGAGGAATGAGCATAGGATGAGGTGTGAGCCTTGAGAGGTAAGTGGGGCTTGGCCCACTTCTGATTCCCCTGCCTAGAAGATGTAATGAGTTTTCTTTCTTCTTTGTATCTTTTTCAGCTGCTACATCTGGTACCTTTGCTGGTGTTATGGCATTGAGATCCTACTACTATGGAAAAGTCATGCCTGTAGGTTTAATCGCAGGTGCCAGGTACTTTCCATTCTATTACTCTTCTTTACCATGTAGAGTTCAGTATATTGCCCAGGATACTTTGTGCATTCAAAACTTTGTTTCAGGATATCTGATGCCATGCATCAACTGACATTTGATTTCTACACTAGTAGAAAATGCTTTAAAAGCAATAGTTGGTTTAATGTCAAAATGGCATGAGTATATCCATTCACTGTGGAAATGGCTTTGTTCTCATATTTCTTCTCTGGTCCATCCTAGTTCCTCCTCATGGTGGCCGAAGTTTTAGTTCAAAGCCACGACTGCAGCCTTTTGTGTGACATGAGGTGGATGTGTGGGGGCCCCATATTTCTTAGATGTATAGGTGACTTATAGAAAATTTTGCTGAAAGGGAGTTTTGATTGAATCCTGTTTTCTAATTTTGATTATAAAACCTAAACCAAATGGTGATTTTTTAAAAATTCAGTTATAGGCCAGGCATAGTGACTTACACCTGTAATCCCAGCACTTTGGGAGGCCAAGGCAGGTGGATCACTTGAAGTCAGGAGTTCGAGACCAGCCTGGCCAACAAGGTGAAACCCCCGTCTCTATGAAAAATAAAAAATTAGCTGGGTGTGGTGGTGCATGCCTGTAATCCCAGCTACTCAGGAGGCTGAGGAAGGAGAGTCACTTGAACCAGGGAGGCGGAGGTTGCAGTGAGCTGAAATCATGCCACTGCACTCCAGCCTGGGCCAGAGAATGAGACTCCATCTCAAAAAAAAAAAAATTCAGTTGTTAAGTATGATAAAGACATCTTAAAGGCAGGGGAATTTTAAAAAGCCTATTTTGGAGAAAGATTGCATACCTCTACTTTGATCATGATCATGATGCTGCCAGTATAATGTTTTATACCTGAAGCAACAGAGTCAGTGTGGAGCTAGATCAAGAGCAGTAAACTGAGAGGCTTTAGGTTCTACCATTAATTAGCTCTGTGTGGCGGGGAGGCCTTGCTCTCTCTTGCCTCCGTTTCTTCAAATTATTGGCAGTTGCGTTAGGATCCAGCTCATGTGTGCTATTTTAATACCTCAGAGTGATACTGTTCCTTGGCATCCTTTTCTCTGGTTCCTCCAGGGATGGAAATTTTACCCGTGACCACTCCTGCCTTAGTATCTCCTCCCCCACACAGTTGTGACGAACCTGCAGAGTTTAGTTCCTTAAAAACATAGTTGCCTGTTCTGTCCTTTACCTGACGTTTTCTATCTGTTTCTTTTGAATAGTTTGCTGATGGTCGCCAAAGTTGGAGTTCGTATGTTGATGGCATACAATGAGTAGAAGTCGTGCTCCAAGCTGGACTCATGAAGAATTCAAATCTGAATCTTCCACTATTTTCAATGTATTAAGAGAAATAAGGGCAGATTTTTTGCATTTCTGACATTTTGCTTAAAAAAAAAAGACACCAAATTTGGCAGAAGAGTGGAAAATCAGTCGTTATCATTACAACCCTACAGAGGTGGTGAGTATGTACCACAAGCTTATTGAGACCCTCATAGAGATCGATTCTTGTATATTGATGTTATCACTTCTTTCTGTATCTACAGGTAAATCTCGATGGTAAAATGTTAGGTGTTGTCATTGAGAACCCTGAAACCCCATTCCCTGCTCAGAGGAACAGTATGAAAAACTCTCTTATGAGATTTAGAATACCTGTTCTTTTGCCCGTCTTAAAGCATAGACTGACTTTGAAATTATGTTAAATGAAATATCAATGAAAATATAGTTGACTATAGGTAATATTTCCTATGGTGTCTTCATTGCCAGAGCTGTCTAGTTCATAGAATGAGATGTTGCTAGCAAGATATAGAAACATGAAAGTATTTTTTTAATATTTAGGAATTACCTATTTTGAGTAATTTAAGGACCAAGGAAAGATACTTGATTGTACATTGCATTGAAGCTTCTTTCAAAAATGATCTCTGAGGATTTTTTTTTTTTTTTTTAGGAGACAGTGTCTTTCTCTCTCATCTAGGCTAGAGGGTAGTGGTGCCATCATATCTCATTGTGGCCTCAAACTCTTGGGTTCAATCATCCCACCTCAGCCTCCTGAGTAGCTGGTACCGTCACATGTCAGCATGCCTGGCTTATTTGTTTTATTTTTTTGTAGAGATAGCGTCCTGCTGTGTTGTCCAGACTGGTAAACCCTTCCCTCAAGCGATCCTCTCTCCTTGGCCTCCCAGAGTGCTGGGGTAATGAGCATGAGCCACCGTACCTGGCCACTGAGGATTTCTAAGATTAGGACTGTGTAGCAAAAAAAAAAAAAAAAGCCGGTGTTTTTTTTTTTTTGGTTGTTAATTAGAAGACCCACCTAGAGCTTGAATCACCTAGTAGTTTGGTCTCCACGTTGGACACATTAACTGAATACTGGTGTATTTTTGGTTCACTTTATTTTTGTTTCAGCTTGAGGAATTAACTCAAATCTCATACCCCTTGCTTTAGTTTTCATTCCTTCTTTAAAAAGGTAAGGATATTTGCTACTGGTCTACCCTAACTGATATCGGTTGAGTTTAGAGTATAATTCAGGCATTTTATGTATTTGCATAAGGCCCTTGAAAGTGTTCTAGTTTTCCATCCTTTTTTATAGGACACTGGACAATTAAGGACACTTGTATTGCAGTGGTAATGGCCATAGACCATCTAAACCCACCATCCTCTCAGGCTTCCACAGATAAGATTTTGAATTGTGACTTTGGCCCTTTCTTCATGTATCATGGAGTGTTTCCAAAGGGCACACATTTTGCCACCTCTGGTCCTAGGGGAGGACCTTGATCCTGAATGACAAGGTTCTCTGAAGGTGGGAATTCGTTTAGGTGCCAGGTAGATTCCTGTGTGACTATTTGGTTCCCAGCCATCAGCCTAGAAAATTCTAAGGCTGCCCACCGATGGAGGCAGGAGGTCTTCATAGCCCTTGCTAAGTCCCCTTGTCCTCACTTCTCTGCAAAGATCCCTGAGAATTTACTGTCCTAAGGGTTGTGCTGGGTCCTAGCAGTGCAAGGAACAAGCTATGGTGCTTGCCTTCCTGGAGTCTAGTGGAAGAGGCAGACATCTAAACAAAGGCAATATAGAAATAAGTGTAATGAAGGTGGATCCATATTACTGTGGGGGCACCAAGGAGGGGAGTGGGCATTTCTGTTTAGGGAGTCAAGGGAAGCGGCACAAAGGAACCAATAGTTAAACTCAGTCTTGTCAGTTGATTCCTGAATCACCTGACATGAACTTTTGTCAGTTGCCTATGAGGAATTCATAGACAATGACAGGGACAAATGTCTCAGGTAGAGGGAGCAATACATACAGTGCCTCAAAGGCATGAAACTAGCACAACTGGGTTCAACCCTTTTCTTAGAGTTCTAATTCTTTTTAATGGCTTTAAGTTGTGCTGATGTTTCCCATTTAGTTTACCATTCCCCTACTGATAGAACCGTCTTGTTTAATGCCTCTGAAAGCCGGGAGTGGTGTCTCACGCCTGTAATCCCAGCACTTTGGGAGGCTCACCTGAGGCCTTTGATATTAATCCCAGCACTTTGGGAGGCTGAGGTGGGTGGATCACGAGGTCAAGAGATAGAGACCATCCTGGCCAACATGGCGAAACCCTGTCTCCACTAAAATACAAAATTAGTTTGGCATGGTGGTGTGTGCCTGCAGTCCCAGCTACTTGGGAGGCTGAGGCAGGAGAATTGCTTGAACCCGGGAAGCGGAGGTTGCACCACGAGATCGCACCACTGCACTCCAGCCTGGCACCTGGCAACAGAGGCTCTGTCTCAAAAAAAAAGAAAGAAAAAAAAACTCAGTAGTCAGAAAATAACCCAATTTAAAGGTGGGCAAAAGATCTGAACAGATACTTAGCCAAAGATGGCAATGCAGATGAAAAGATGCTCAACATCATGTCATTAGAGTGCATATAATACCAGTGAGAAGCCATTAGACACCTAAATAATGACCAAAATCCAAAACACTGATGCCACCAAACACTGGTGTAGTTGTGGAGCAGCAGGATCTCATTCATTGCTGCAGGAAATACAAAATGGCACAGATACTTTGGAGGACAGTTTGGCAGTTTCTTTTATTTTTTTTATTTTTGCAGACGGAGTTTTGCTCGTCGCCCAGGCTGTAGTGTAATAGCGTGATCTTGGCTCACCGCAACTTCCGCCTCCTGGGTTCAAGTGATTCTCCTCTATTAGCCTCCTGAGTAGCTAGCTTTATAGGCATGTGCCACCACACCCACCTACTGTTTTTGTATTAGTAGAGATGGGGTTTCACAATGTTGGCCAGCCTGGGCTCAAACTCCTGACCCCAGGTGATTCTGGAAAAAGAACTATGGAGACAGTAATGAGGTCAGTGGTGGCCAGAGGTTCAGGGCAAGATAGGGAAGGATGAATAGGGAGAGGACAGGATTTTGAGGGAGTGAAAGGATTCTTATGATACTATAATGGTGTATACATGTCCTTACATATTTTTTCAAAACCCATAGTGTACAACACAAAGAATGAACCCTAATATAAACTGTGAACTTTATTTAATAACAGTGTATCAATACTGGCTTATCAGTTGTAATGAATGATCTACATGAATGCAAGGTTTTGATAATAGGGAAAATTCGGGAGGGGGAGATAAAGAGGCATATGGGAACTCTACTTTCTGATTAGTATTTTCATAAACCTAAACTGCTTTTTTTTTTTTTTTTTTTTTTTTTAGATGGAGTCTTGCTCTGTGGCCAGGCTAGAGTGCAGTGGCATTATCTGGGCTCTGTCGCCCAGGCTGGAATGCAGTGGGGCAGTCATGGCTCACTGCAGCCTCAAACTCCTGGGCTCAAGTGATCCTCCTGCCTCGGCCTTCTGAGTAGATGAGACTACAGGCGCACATCACCACACCCACACCCAGCTAATTTAAAAAAATTTCTTTTTATAGAGACAGGGTCTTGCTATGTTGCCTAAGCTGATCTTGACTCCTGGGCTCAAGCAGCCCTCCCACCTTGGCCTCCCAAAACTCTGGGATTACAGGCATGAGCCACTATACCCGGCCTGTAGTTTAATTTAAAAGTTGACTCTGAAACTATGCTCACAGCCCATCCTAACATGATCCTATATTAAAACACCAGATTAGAGTTGCCAGTCTTGGAGCTAAAAATGTTTAAAGCCTAGACTTCTTTATTTTTTTTATATCTTACCGCAATAGAACTGCTTAAATAGTACTACAGTTACCTTATCTGTGAGAAGAATTGCTTCATTATCTCTCCGCTGAAACAAAATAAGTAAACATTTTTTTTTTTTTTGAGATGGAGTTTCACTCTTGTCGCCCGGGCTGGAGTGCAATGGTACAGTCTTGGCTCACTGCAACCTCTGCCTCCTGGGTTCAAGCAATTCTCCTGCCTCAGCCTCCTGAGTAGCTGGGATTACAGGCACCCGCCATCATGCTTAGCTAATTTTTTTGTATTTTTAGTAGAAACAGGGTCTCACTATGTTAGCCAGGCGGGTCTCAAACCCCTGACTTCGGGTGATCCACCCACCTTGGCCTGCTAAAGTGCTGGGATCACAGGCATAAGGCACTGTGACTGGCCAGCTACTGGAAATTCTAATTGATGTCAATATAATACTGCACTACAATTTTTGGTTTTAACATTTAAAAAGCCTCAGAGAGTACTGAGTTAATCTTTTAAACATAAATTTACATTTCCCCCATCAAATGAGAGGATGAATTTTTTTATTTTGAGTTTGATAAACAAATGAGTAAAATTCTAATTTCTTTTTTTTTTTTTTTTTTTTGAGACGGAGTTTCGCGCTCTTGTTACCCAGGCTGGAGCGCAATGGCACGATCTCGGCTCACTGCAACCTCCACCTCCTGGGTTCAGGCAATTCTCCTGCCTCAGCCTCCTGAGTAGCTGGGATTACAGGCACGCGCCACCACGCCCAGCTAATTTTTTGTATTTTTAGTAGAGACAGGGTTTCACCATGTTGACCAGGATAGTCTCGATCTCTTGACCTCGTGATCCACCCGCCTCGGCCTCCCAAAGTGCTGGGATTACAGGCGTGAGCCATCGCGCCCGGCCCTAAAATTCTAATTTCTGATCTGATTTCTTTCAGAATATACCTGGAACACAAAACTGGTCGGGGACAGTTTTCAGGACATACTTACAATCCTACAGCAAAAAACCTAAATATTGTGAACCATATACAGCCCATTTCCTCAGTGCACGGGAGGACAGACTGGGTGGCCAAGTATGGAGGCCACTGGTAGGAGTCTGGTGTGATCTTCCCAATAAAAATAAAATAACAGGAATATGCATGCTAATTGAATAGAATAATTAACATGTAAAGACCTTCAATAGTTTACAAAAATATTTTTTAAAAACCCACTCTTGACTGGGCGTGGTGGCTCATGCCTGTAATCCCAGCAGTTTGGGAGGCCAAGGTGGGCAGATCACCTGAGGTCATGAGTTCAAGACCAGCATGACCAACATGGAGAAACCCCATCTCTACTAAAAACACAAAAAATTAGCTGGACATGGTGGCACATGCCTATAATCCCAGCTACCTGGGAGGCTGAGGCAGGAGAATCACTTGAACCCAGGAGGCAGAGGTTGCGGTGAGCCAAGATCATGCCATTGCACTCCAGCCTGGGCAACAAGGGCGAAAATCCATCTCAAAAAATAAATAAGTGAATGAATAAATAAATGATAGTAAGATCATATCCTATGATCATGTTAGGATGGGCTGTGAGCATACTTTCAGAGTCAACTTTTAAA